ACCAATTGATATATTTTACAAAATTTGTTTAGATTTTTATCAATTGATTAGTTTTTCTAAACTAATTCTATTTTCAAAAAATTTAATTAATTTTTGTAATATATTTTTGTTGAAAATAGTACTTTTAGTAATAAGTTATAAATAAAATCTTATATAAATTATGCAAAATAAATAATAAAATACATATTTAAATTTAAAAATTTAAGTTATTTATATCATTTATTAATTATAAATACATTATTTGTTTCTGTATTAACATATTTTAATCTATTCTTTAATGTAATTATATATTTATAAAATATTAGTATATCATAAATAAATAGTATTTTTAAATTATTAAATATTATGTATTTATCTAATTTATTGTAATTTTATATGTAAATATCTCAAACAGTTTAGGCGTTGTTCACATATTACGTTCGCAGTTTTTAAAAAATCTAGAACCCCTCCCCCCTATGTTCGCAATTGTTCGCATGTAATGATATTTAAAAATTACGTTCGCATGTCCTTAACCCCCCCCCCACCATTTTAATAAATATTTTATAAAATTATTTTCACTTAAAATAATCAAATAATAAAATAAATTAATATTATTCAAAAGTCATATATTTATTCAAAATTAGTTATTAAACCGTTTATCAAAGGATTAAGTTTACACAAAATTAATCCTTTAAATTCATTCATTATTTAAATGCGAACGTTCTTATAGACTTTACCCCTCCCCCCTCGTTCGCAAAAGTTCGCTTTGGCCGACCCCCCTCCCCTCAAGTGCGAACGTAATATGTGAACAACGCCTTACTTGAATTTTAATAGTACGTAAACTTTTAATTTCAAAATTGTTATATTAGATAAATGTAAAACTTTATGTTAATCTAAAAACAATATCAGATTTAAAAAAAAGATATAAATTAAATATTTAATTATTATATATTTTGTAGAGTATATACTGTATATAAATTTATAAATTATTTTTAGTAAATATTTATAATATAAGGTTTATTTTTACAAATATTTTAAACTTATTAAAATCATTTATTATAATTTATAAGTCATTAATAATTTATATTTATTATTCAATATTTGTTTATTTATTAAAATGTGTCAATTGATGCAAATCCGTACCATTATATGTTAGTCATAACTTGTCTTATAATATAATTTGATACAATGGTTTATATAAATACTAAATAAGGACTAAATAATAATAATGCTTGATTTAATATGATTGAAATAATTATTTTTTTTATTGAAGATTATATGGTATTGAAATATTAATTTATTAAAAATAAATATTGTTTCATTAAATAAATCTAATAATATATATATTTATAATTATGATTTTTTTATATACATTTTAGTGTATATTATATATTAATTTCCTTGTGTAATGTACTAAAAAATCATTATTTGTATCATTTAACATATATTTTTTCAATCAATAAATAGATGTTAAAAATTAATATAAAATTACTAAATAGATTACATAAAACAATTTACGTTATTAAGAGCTTTAAGTTAATTTGTAAAATTAATGAATAAAATGTTTATTTTTTATTTTTTTAATAAACATATTAATATAGACAAATACATGTAGTTATTTAAAATTGTAATTCATTAGTTAAAAATCTTAATAACGATAATATTAAAGTTTAATAAATATATTTTTAGTATTTATAATTTTAATAATTTTATTATTATATTAGAAACAATTATAATAATCACTGATAAATAACTAATAAAAAAAAATCAATTTAGTTATAATAAGGAAATATAGTTATTTGTTGCAATTATTTTCTATATTTTAGTATTAATGATTATAATAAATAAAAATTAACTAATAATTTAATTAATTGCTTTAACAATTAATTCATAATAACTAATTTATTTTTCTATATAAATATATTAATAGACAATTTGTTATTTTTTAAATTAGTTTTATTTCAATATAATGACATTAACCGTTTCTTTAATTATTTAGTATTTAATTATAAATTTTCTATAATGTTATTTACATATTATTAAATAATATAGATTTAATTGCATTTATATTTAGTACAAATTATTTTCTTTAGTTTTAGTTTTCTTTTAGGAAATATATTGTTAACAAATTATAATAAAAATTAACAAAAAATTATTTGTTTATTTGTCTCATAAATTTTAAATTAGTCAAATGATATTTTATAATTTAGTTAAATAATATATAGCATAAAATACTATAATAGTATATGCAATATATGTTACATATTATTTGACACCAAAATAAGTTTCCTAATAAAAAAATCAATTTTTAAAAATTTAGTAATAATTATTATATTAGATTGTATGCTAATATATATTTATGTAAATTTTAAATTGTTTTAAACACAACAATAATATATCACCCAAAAATAGATCTATGATTTATAACAACAACAAAATAATAAATAGTTTGAAATCACTAAATTTAAATTACAATTATTGAGAGCTTTCACTTCATATTTTTTTTGTTTAGTAATATATTGCTCTCACTCTTTAATTATAACTTTCAGTCAAAAACTAAAACCAAAAAATAATAATTAACAACAAAAAAAGTGAGAAAAACCTATTTATTTTAGCGAAAAAATTCACGATCGGATGAATTTGCTTTAATAAGTGAGGAGTGAGTGAGCCATGAGAGAGACGAAAGAGAGAGAGAGAGAGAGAGAGAGAGAGAGAGAGAGAGAGAGAGAGAGAGAGAGAGAGAGAGAGAGCTATAACATTAAAAAACGAGAGCTATTTTTGGTGAACAAAAAATAATATAACTCAAGAAAAAAAGTGTAATTAATTTTGATTTAATAAACAGTAGTTTTATTGTTTAACTGTTATTAAGTATGTAAAGCTATGCATGAAAATGAAAAACAATAATAATAATAATAACAAAAACATGAATACAATACTATATAATAATTGTCATTATAATATTAATTATTTGCTAATATATTACACAAAAGGTTATTTGTAGACACAATAATAATTTAAATTTTAAAAATATGATTAGAGGAGTGTTTTCCATAACTAAAAATAGTTATCTTAATTTTTTCTTATTATAGCTAAGTATAACAATTTATAGTATAGTTAAATGCACTCCAAAAAAACGGTATATAACGGTTATGATTGAATCAAAAATTATTGTTTAGTAGTTAACTGACAAATCAAACTGTCCTCATCTCACTTATAATAAACATATATTTTGTATATTAGTTATCGTTTATAAGTGTATATATTTATATAAACTGTATTTAATTATTTAGTGAAACTTTAATAAAGTTTTATTTGTTTACTCAAAAAAATAAATAATAATAGTGACCATCAAAACAATATCATGGATTATTTCAAATTACTCTGTTTAGCTACTTGTGCTCTCGGACTACTGGTGCAGTTGGTTTGGGCACAGGGAAAAGGAAACGAATTGATTATAGTGGGCGGTAAATGTGGTCCGCGACTTGTGCTCAAAACTAACGGCAAGGGCAGCAAACGTAACAACATATTACTGATAGGACCCGAATGTAAGGAAGTCAAAAAGGAACAGGAGGTCAAATATATTGCCGTACCGGTGCCCATGCATATGGATATGCACGGCGGTGGTGGTGGAGGAGGAGGAATGGGTGGCGGTTGGAGGCGACGCCGATAATCTCTGTCGACTACAACAAAAATAGTCGTCAAGTATTTCATGCAATATTATCATCAGTTTTTGATTTGTTTTAGTGGGGATTACTTTATTTAACTCATTAGTAATTACTGTAAATATTTATGTATTGGTCGTATAGTCTCTCAATAATAATCCCTTTAAATAAATGTTGTAATTATGTGTTTTTTATTAATATTATAATTTTTTATGAGCTTTTAGTCAGTGTTACCGTTGTTGTTGGTGTTGGTGTTATTGTTAAATACTTTAATTGTGTACTAATAATAATTAAAATTATTATTATTATTTGGATGTATAGTATGTTTGCCTCAAAATAATATGCCATTTATATTACTTACCGATTCTCTATTTCTTAGTGTTTATATGTGTATATATGGTGTATATTAGTGTATATTTACTGTATATTGTGTCAATGTTTTCAAGTCATTTATTATTATATTATATATATATATGTATATCACATTTAATGTCATAATATAATTAATATTTTTTTGTATAATTTGTTGTAAAATACATTATCAATATTAAAAATAATATTAAATATTAAATTGCTTTAACAATTTTTAAAAATAAATAATATTTGTTATTTTAAAATAATTTATAACTGTTTCAAATACTAATAGGTATCATATAACAGAATAGTTTTTTATTTTCTTGAAAATATAAATAATATTACAAAAATAAATATATTTATATAAATTTTTTAATTAATTATTTTAATTATAATGAAAACTATAATTGAATAAAAAAACATAATATAAAATATAGTTTTATAAATATTATTGACAATACATTATATTTATGTTACAATAAAGAAATGTTATATATAAATATGCAATAATAATAATAATATATAACTATTTATATAATTAAAAAATTAATAAAAAATTAATAGTTATAATAGTTATAATAGTTATAATTTTGACAAATTAGTATGATAAAAATAGTTTAACAAATTAAACTACAATTAAATATAAATTTATCAAATATGAACAAAATTACAAAATCTATATTTGTAATGAAAAGTTTTTATTTTTTAAAGTACAATAACTTAGTCAACATTAACCCCATAAAAGCATAATTAGACTATTTATTATTATAAAATGTTATTTATTATATGTATATATTTAAACCCATATTTATAAATAAATTACATGTAAAGGCAATGTATAGAAAAGTGTAAAATGTATGAAATATATGATATATATTAAGGTATTAATAATATATAAATGTTTATTAGTATTATTTAATATGAAATATTACATCAAACAAATAATATTTTAATTATCATATTGAAATATAACATGTATTATTATTATTATTATTACTACTATTATTACCTTTTCCTCCACCACCCACCCCCGTGACCACCTCCGTGACCCCCTTCCCACCCGTGGCTAAAATGACTAACTTCATGGGACTCGTGTTCGTGTCCGCCATCATGTCCTCCATGATGTTCACCACCACCCCCGCCGCCTCCGTGACCGCCAATAATAATGATATTTTTGCCTTTACTACGTTTGTCACCTCCCGTTTTCACTATAGTAGGTCCGCCCCCACCGTGTCCATGTCCATGACCGCCGCCACCGCCACCACCAATAATAATAATAGTTCCGCCACCTCTTTTGCCTCCACTTGTCTTAACAATTATGGGTCCGCCGCCTCCTCCATGACCGCCACCGTGACCACCACCACCACCGCCGCCACCAGTAATTATTGTACGCCTGTGACCGTTGGTGTTGACCAGTGTTCCGATACCACCGTGTCCCGCACCCGATATAATAGTATTACCACCCGATAGACACTCGTTTATTGAGCACAGTATGAACACAAGCGATGAATATATTGTCACAAATTTTTTGGCCATAATTTTGTTAAAACAGTTTTTTTAATTGTAAAATCCAAAACACTAAATACTTTTTATGACATTATTTTCTAAATAAAAACCATTTGGAAAACTTATTTTAAATTAAACAAATAATATTAGAAAAATTTGACTAAAAATTTTATAAAATTTTGAGGAATTTTTGGTTGCTTTTAGTGGTTTAAACAAATGTCAAGTAAATACTGTTTTTATTGCAATTTTTGATAACACTTTTATATGTGACTCTAATAGATAGTCTATAAAAAACTTAACATTTAAGTTAAATATATAATTAAATAAAGTAAAAATAAAATTTCTCATTAAATTAAATTATCATTTTTTCGCAATAAAAACGCATAAAAATTCAATAAAAAAAATCCTATTCTTGTTAGTTTAGTATACAAACATATATAATAAAATTAAAAACAACTTTTTTTGTTATAAAAACTACAAAAAAATTAATAATATTGTTTATGGTATATTACCCGAAAAAATAAGTGAAATTTTTTTATTTCTATTTATTTCACAAACTATACATTTTTATACAATACATGAACGATATATTTATTTAACTGTATGTATGTATGTGTGTGTGTGTGTTGGTCAGTGCCATAGATTTAATATATATATATAAGTGTATGAAATGTATGTCAAGTCTTTAATTAAATTTGAAGACAACTTTAACTATTTTTTAAAAAAAGCCTAATTGTATTTAATTAAACTTTATATGTGTTTTTTTGTTTACTATTTGATTGTTGAGTATTATCATTAACTAGTAATCTGAAACAAACAATACTTTCTCATAAGTATATTTTGCAGTACTATTGTAATAGGTATTGAAAATTTTAATTTTTAAAGCAATAGTTTTTGAGCCAATAGTTAATATGTCACAGTTATTGGACTTACAAGTCAACGATGCGATGAAAATCAGGTCTTCAATGGTCTATATTTAGGATAATAACAATTGATAGACTCTCTCTCTCTCTCTCTCTCTCTCTCTCTCTCTCTCTCTCTCTCTCTCAGTTATATAAAATATATTTTATATACTAATAACTTATGTACAAACTAATTGCATATTATTGTTCACAAATATATTTATATATAAATATATATAATATTTGTAATTTATAATTATTGGTTTGACTTATAAGATGTGCTGATTTTATTCCCACTATTACTAGTAGTGAAACAAATTTTATAAAATCTAAAATCTTTATTATTATTTTGAATTATAATATAAATACAATACAATATTTTAGTTGTAGAATTAAAAAAAAATAAATATTTATAATTATAGATTAAAAGTAATATCAGATATATTTTATTAGTGTTAATACAATTAATTTTTTAAGGAAATTATTACTGTATATTTCATAATAAAAATTATAAGTTTTAATATAATTTCTATTCATTAATATATCGATATTTTATGTAACATATAATAATACAATATAAATATATTTATTATTAATAACTACCGCATTATTATGTTTTAGGAAATGTAACTTATTTTATTTACAATACTTGATTTTTTTTAATTAAAATTCAACAAAAGTAAACATATATGGAAAAAAATTTATGTAATTTCAGTAAATTTTGTAATATCTAATATATATTACAAAAATTCTAAATTTAAACAGTAATTAGTTGTATTTAATTTAATATATACTGTATATATTTATATATATTTAATGAAATTTAATAATCATATAATGTATGTATTTATGTAAATACTTTTATTAAAAACTTTCTAATAATAGATTTATTTACTTAATTATAGACAATTAAATTCAATTTGTAAAAATAGTTGTAATATAGCAGTAATTATTTGTAATTTAGATCTGTATTTTTTAATAATTTAAGTAACAATGTTTATTTATACAATGCACTGTATATTTTATAAAATAAATTAAAATAATAAAAGTTATCAATTATACTTTACAATTTAATATTGAATTGTTTTTACAATGATTAGAAATTAAATATAAATATCTTAAAAATTTATATAAATAAAATTTTACAAAAAAACAAATTTTTTTAATAAAAATTTAAATACCTGTTTTTCAACACATTATTTAATGGCAGTCCACGTGATATTAACGGTAACTGATCCCGAATACGGTCCATATAGCGGAAGCTCTAACGGTATGCCATTATTGCCGCTATCGATGACCTCTTTGATCGTAATATCATTGCCGGCTATAAACTCGTCGTCAGCGATCACTTCGGTATCGTAGGCTTCAAACGTCAGGACAGTTGTACTTTGATTGTATTGATTCAAATCAAACGGTTCGCACTGGTGTTCCCAATACGGCTCGTTGTTATCTTCACGCTTAGTTGTCCTACAAAAACAGTTATCTCTGTCGTCGAGCGGTTGTCCAGTAGACTCACGTTTGTCACCTGTGAACGAACACAACACTATATAAGCGTCGGCCGCAGCGTTAATAAATGTGTCCGTATTGGCCAACGAGGCCGATATGATGGTCACGTTTAGTCTACCGGCACCTTTGATTGGCCGCCTACGACGGGTAGTTCGTGGTCTCGGTGTTGCTAACGGTGCCGATGGTGTTGCCTGGTGTGTGCGCTCACCTGCTGACGGTCGAGATTGCGGCGGCGGCTGCAGTCGTGGCCTAATACCCGAACCGCCTGATCTATCGATGCATTTGCCGTTTGCGCATATCTGTAACAAATCATAGCTATAGATAATAATACTAATAATATCCATATTATGACATTTATGTCTCATTCATGACATACCGTATTGGCTCCGAGTCCCGGACAGGGTTCGCCTTCGCAAATATTTTTGAATTTAAGTTTCAACATACCGCGTACTAGTTTGCATCCGAAGTTGACCAGATCGCTCATACCTAAACTATAGGGTATGTCCTTACATCGACTGAATTGAGTGCCTACCAGTCCAAAGTGTGTGACAACCGACAGTGTGTTCAATAATAGTGAATCTAATCTCATGATATAAAAACAATTTTTTGAAATATTTTATTCATTAAAACACAAAAATAAATTATTATAAAATAGCAATTAATTGTTTGGTTGTCATAAATTAGTTGCTTATATTTATAAAGTTTTTTTTCTGGTATTCATACTTTAAAAAGTAATATTAATTGTAAAAATTGATATCATTTAACTATATCTAAAGGACTTATAATACTGTAATTTTTTGTTGTATATAATATTTTTATTTTATTCATTTATAACCTTTTGATTTGATTTTGAAGTTCAAGATCTTTATTATTGATTTTAAATATATTGTGTTTTATATTAAACTAATAGATTATTGAAGACATTGTAAAAAACCGGGAAATCATTGCGTGAATCAAATGCTAAGTCAAGAAAATACCTTTTTTTTGGATAATAATAATAATGCAATTAAAAGGTTATATTTTATCATAATATACTGTATAATACTTTTAAATATATCTAAATTTATTTTAAAACTAAAAGTAACTACTGTTTGCATTATCTAATGATCAGATGACTTAGCAAATTATATAAAATAAAAAAGTCATTAAAAACAATTGTTTAAATAATTTATGTCAAGTCTATTAAAACTAATATATTAATGACCTTTTTTAATAGTATTTAATACAAACAAAAATAAATTGTATAATAAATATAGCATTTTATTATGCACTTCAATAACTGTTGATATTATAAAATAATTGTAATTTTGTTGATTTATTTAGTAGTTTAGGTATAAAATAAAAATAAAACATTAAAACATTTTTTTAATAATTGTTATTTTTTTGGTTTAATTATGATAACTTAAAATTAATTATTTAATTATTTCTATTCAAACGGAGTAGGATTGGCAGGCCAGGTAGGTATGGGTGTCTTGCCGTCCTCCCAGGGAATGGGCAAACACTTATCAGCTTCACCGATATCCTCTGCAAGGGGTGTCAGATCGATAAACAGTGGACTACCCAAAAACAGTACATCCCGGGTGTGATCGACCACTTCATATCGGGTCAACGGGTGAATCAGTACTGAATGGTTGCCGCGGTTTTTCATAAACCACGACATGCCGTTGGCAAACGTACTGGCATTACAACATGTCTCAAAACTTCCGATTGGATGCGGACCCCTGGGAACGGTATTAAAATGATTTAGACGACAGCCCTTTAGTGTGCCATTCACTGACTGTTCGTGTGTTTGGCGTCTATAGTTTAAATTAATTAATTATTATTTAAAAAAAAACAATTAAGTTTTCAATAAATTAATAATAATTTTTACCGAAAATTAAGAGCACTCTTGTAGCTGACGGGGTTGTCCTGAAAGAAATAGGTGTGAAAGTGATAGCCGGTCACCAGTGATGGGTCCGGTACTGCACTGTAGACACCATAAACACTAATCAATAGTAAAGTTGCAAAAAAATATTTCATTATTTTATTATTATGTGATCTTAAATATTAGTAAAAAAAATTGTAATATTTTGTTCTTTACTTTTTTTTGACGACTATTTATACTCTTAAACATTATAAATATTTAGATAATTATTTTTTATTTATTGATAACAATTATCCGATTAACTGCATTGCATGGTATCATAAGATTTACAGTAGTTTTTAATGTGCAATATTAAAACTACATAATACAAAGTTTGTAATGTTTGTAAATATTTATTAATACCGATATACTGTAAGTAACTAAACAATTGGTATAAATTTATATATAAAATACATTAATATAGTTTCCGAAATCTAACTGTCCTAAAGGCGCACTGTGCTTATATGTGAATTTATTAGAGGGGGTGCGCCCATATAATTGGACATAATCGCAGGGTGCTTTACCAAATGTTATTAATGAGTTTTATTTTTGCATATATATATATATATATATATATATATATATATATATATATATATATATATATATATATATATAATTTATACACTATTTATTATAATATAAAATAGATTTAATAAAATGTAACAAATGTACTGATAATAACTTTAAATAAAGTAAATAATTTGTTAAATCAACTAATATTTTGCTAATCCCATTATTTATTTAATTACTATTAACAACAACAAAATTAATTGCACTAGGTGGTATTTTTTTATTAGCCTTTAATTGATTAAATAGAAAAATCACCAAGTTAATTTCATAACATTTCATTATAGTAACTTTTATGACATAATTATTATCTCTAATTTAATTATTTCTAAATATATTATCTAATAAATGTGCCCAAAGTTATACTAATATATTAATTATATGCCATTTATTAATACAAGTAATTAATTTATAAGTTGTGGATTACTTTCTTAGTTAATAAAAATTAATATTTCTATATAATTATAACTTATAGTATAAAATCATAAAATTATTTAATATTTAATACAGTATTAAAACTATTGGTTAAACACATTATTTATGTATAAAATAAGTTGAAATTATTTGTTTGAGATTTTTAATATTAATACAGAAAAAAATGGGTATTCATTACAAATGTAAAGTTTATTACAGTATATTTGTTTTCATACACATAAATGCATGTTAGCATATATAAAGCTACGTAAGGGAGGAGCCATATAAAACTGTATACAGTGTATTATTTGTAGTATAATAATAAATCAACTAATGTGTATAAAGTATACTGTAATATTACAGATCTATGCATTGTATGTATTTATATATATTTACAGTACTGTACAAACAATTATTAAAAGAGTATATCGACAACATTAAAATTATAAGTGTTTACATAAATAACGTTATAAAACAAAATATGGAGGGATTTCTATATATATATATATATTACATGTAGTTTTAGATTTAACTCAATAAGTTTATCAATGAAATGGTTTTATTTTTTTGCCATTTTTTACTAATACGTTATTTATGTTATATTTTTTTTGTGAAGATATAGCTATAGAGAGAGAGAGAGAGAGAGAGAGAGAGAGAGAGAGAGAGTGAATGTATTGACCGCTAATACAAATGGCAGACATTATTAGTTGAGTTTTGAGTTTATATTTTAATAATAATATATTAATTAATAATTAAAAGTAAATATTATATATATATTAATAACAATTGATTTGATTTAATTATCATATATTTATATATATATATATATATATTAATTATAATTAAAAATAAATAATAATTGAAAATTAAATTAATTAATTTGTGTCTTAAAAAAAATCAAGTGTTTGTGTAAAACAATTGTCGGCCAAAACATTGACAGACAGAGAGAGAGAGAGTGAGCTATCAATTCATTAATGTTTTTCAATAATAATAATAATAGTTATTATTATTAATGAAAATTCAATTAAATATTTAAAAATAATTGTTTTTCTAATAATATATATATTAATTTATTATTATTATTATTAATTAATTAATAACCAATGGTTTGATGTTTATTATTATTATTATTGTATTATAATTACAGTACAATTATATTGAATGGACAGTCATATTACACAACAATACATTGTATTATATATAATAATAATTGATTTATTAAACACAACAACAATATTTAAATATTAATAACAACACACTATTTAATATATAATATATAAATATTTTTATAGTTTATTTTGCAATTTAATAATAATTAACTAAATATAAAGGTTTAATATTTTATCACTATTTTAATATCATATATGATATAAAATTGACAATTATTTTGCATAATATATGATATTTTAATTATGATATTATTATTTATTTTAATAATCAGTATATAATATGATAATAATTTTGATGACAATATAATAGTGATACTAAATAATTGATAAATATTAATGTTTTTTTGTTAATTAAATTTAATAATAATATTTTTTAATATTGAAATTTACATTATTTTCGATAAAATTAATTACTTAAACTACTATATTATAAAAGAAAGTTTAGTTAATATTATTAGTTTAATCAAAAATAAATAATAAATTTTATTTTTAATAAACAAATGTCAAACAAATATGATATCTATTATAGAGATCAAAGAGTCTTATTTTGTTTGTTTGTTTTATTAATAATTATATTTTTTGTTAATTTTTTAATTATTTATCTAAATTTATCATTAATTGATTGATTTATCCAAAAAGGAAGGATATATGAAAGGAAAGGGAGACAAAAGTTTTAATATTATTTTTTAATAATATTTGGGATGTCTATGACAGCTCCGGGAGCTCTTTGACATCAGTTTATTAATAATAATAATTAATTAATATTATAAAACATAAGTTTAAATAATAATAATAAACTCAGTGATTATATATGTTTTTTTAAAAATTAAACCAAGTTTAAATAATTTTATATTAATTAAGTTTATTTTTTTTAAATGAGATTCAATTTTATTATTAAGAGTTAATATTATATTATAATAAATTAATTAATAATAATATTAAGTTTTTAATAATAATAATATTGAAAATAATAATAACAATTTTAAAAAATAATTAAATATTAATAATGGCTTTAATATTGCTGTTTGTCTTATATTTTATGTCCATTAGAGTTAATAAACAAGATTTAGTTGAAAATTATTATCCAACGAAACCTAAACTTAAAAACTATCAAAAAGTATTTCATCAAAATCTACAAAAAGAAGTGGTAATTGAAGACTTGACCTGAAGATAACGGACACAAGTATTTGACATTTTTTTGCTGACTTAAAAAGACGACAATATGAGTGACCAACACATGCGGGAACACGTGAGAGACGTCAGAGACATACGTGACGTACGGGACATACCATTGAATGACGTGCGCGACGACTATTCGCTTGAAGAGAAACTGGTGGTCAGTGTCTGGATTCACGACCGACAGCTAACTGGTAAGTCTATCGACGACTTGCGTATGGACTTTGAGCAACGATTCAACAAAAAGGCGCCAAAGTATGACGCCATGATTGGATGGGAACGGTCGGCATTTGCTACCGGTTCGGTACTCGAACCGGTACCACATATATCCCAGACTCGCGAACAACAGCAACACCAGAACCGAATGCATTTGGAGTCCAATAGTGGTGACGGCTTGAGACGCAAACAGTCCCAACAAAATGCCTCATCCTATCATCCATCGCTCTACAAGACAGAGATGTGTCGCCAGTACTACGAGTACGGGTATTGCGATTACGGGGAACGGTGTCTGTTTGCACACGGAAAGTACGAACTGAAGCGTATACCCAACTACAAGACCAAACTGTGCGCTTCCTATCACAGCTCCGGTTTCTGTTCGTTTGGCTCCCGGTGTGCGTTCATCCATAAGAAACAGGAGGCCCGCATTCAGGATGGCCCCGGTGGTGGTAGTAGTGGCGGCGGCGGTAGCAGCGATGGAGGACCGACCAAAGTACGTGCTTCGCGATCCATACGACCCAACCGACGCACTGAATTGAGCCGACCTAAGAAATAGAGTGCAGACAACAACAGTACCGAAGTTGGCTTTAATAGTGCGGAGGACAGTTGTGTGTGTGTTTGTCTATGTGTGCCGTCACCAAAAATTGGTGCTTATATATATATGATATATCTGATATAACAATTCATTAGATGAAATATATAGATATAAATATAAAACCAATATTAATTAATTTCTTACTTTATATTAATGAGATTTTTTTTTATTTTCTATGTGTTTATTACGGTTATTACCAAATTATATTTTCCATCATAAATATGATTTTTTTTGTTTGTTTAAAACATTATTAAAATAGTTTTGTCAATTGATTCGTCTTTTTTATTCAAGTGTATAATTAATAATATTAAACAAATCTTTATGTTTATAATTAATATTATCTAATAATGTATTAAAATTGTGTCCATTTATTTAAATGATTTCATTGTTTGTATTGTTTTTTGTATTATTAATTATTTCATGATTTATAATTGATTTAAAAAATATGATCTAAATTATTGGTGTCTGTTTGCTATAAATTTATTTAACTTATGATAAATACATTAAGAAAATATTTAGATAATTATGTTAAAACAGAATAAATAATTACAATTATGATATTAGTAATTATTTATTTTATATTAAATAAGCGATTTTTAAGTATTTCATTTTTTTTCATTACTAATTTATAATCACTGAAATTGTACTTAAATAATATTTTTCATATTTTATCTAATATTTAATAAAAAAAAATTTGATATATGTATAACACAAGAGATATAAATAATAATAATAATAATGATTTTGTTTTCAAAAATTTTTGTTTAAAACATTTATTTGTTAATTAAAACTCAAGATTAATCAAAACAAAAATACTAATAAAAAATTAATGTTTACATAAAACTAAATTATTCAAAAAATAATAATAAATATTTTCAAAAATTTATTTTATTATACACCCATATATAATGATTTATAAATGTATACAATGTTTATACAAAATATATATTATTATTAAACTTTAAAAAAAAAATAATCTAAAAAAATTATGACCATAAAAAATGCTAAATCAATATTATCACTTTTGTGTTAATAATTATACAAATATAATATAATACAAAATTTTTAAAAAAAATAAAACTATTAATGAATGAATTTAATTAGTTTTGTATTTTTCATCACTTTTAAGCTGTTGTTGTTTTTGTTGTTTATCAGTAATACTATTAGTTGACCGATGTTTTCGTCGATAAGATTTAATGTAAAAGTTGGCAAACATTGCAAAAAATATCGGTCCCTGACTGGTAGGCATAAGCCGATAGAAGAGCGGATAGTCAACATGATATGCGCTTAGTATTGCACCGTAGATACCAATAATGGCAAACTGGATCATCTGGATTTGTGTGATATACCGTTTCCACCAGAGGTAGGGCTGAATGGCCGGTCCGAATGCGGCCAACGCGTAGTATGAATACATCAATACGTGACAGAAACAGTTCAGTAGAGCGAACAGTCCCAGCACTGGCATCAATGGAGATACCTGTTTGAGGTCGAGAGGACAAGTAGTCAGTAGTAAAGTTAAAAGTCATTAATTATTCAATAAATTTACTTTTTTTTCTTATTAATATTTATGTCAAATATATTGTATATGATATATATGTGTTAAAAGAGAGTGAGAGAGAAAGTTATGTGAATAAAAAAAAACTAACCCAAGCGCTGATCCATCCGATGATAGGCACCGATACGTGATGATAGATATGGAGGACAGTTATCTGATTGTCTTTCTTTCGCAACACAAAGAAGAATGTGTCGAAAAAGTCGATAAATTTAGTAAACATATAATAGTGAAACATACGGACCACACGCATAGTGGCCTCACTTTGCTCCCGATTATCGGGAAATTTAAAGTTAAACAGTCGCGGCCCGAACTCAATCCAAATGAGCGACTCGTACAGAAAGTAGGCATTGATGGCCACCATTACGATATTATAGATAAGCATCGGTAGTCGCAACTCGTATGGCTTCCGATTGGCCATCCATTTGGGACCGATTTTGGTGACAAACACAAAATAGACTAACAATATAGCGGCCAAATTCCACGGACCGCCGTTCATCAGTGGCAGGTCAACAGTACGCGGATCGCACCGGTCGTCCCAATATTGGTGCCGATAATAATCTATGCCATAATCAGTTTGAGCACTGGTAGCTGTTTTTGTTGTGTTTATTATCAACTGGGCTGACGATGACATTATAATTGTCAACAATGATAGTAATAATAATAATAATACTAATAATAATTGATAATTGATTAGAATATTGATTATTATTTTGTTGTTGTTGTTGTTGTTTGATAGTTGTCAACAATATTTATATCTATTTAAATAATTATTTATAAAATTATTTTTTTAAAAATAAATAAATTATACTTAAATAAAACTTAATAAAACCTAATCAAATTGATATTTTATTAGTTGTCTTATTGAACAACCAAAAAAAAAATAGTGATACAGTATATGACAGTTTGATAAAATAAATTAATGAATTACAAAATTAATATTATACTATATCAAAAATAGTAATGATAAAATTACATAATAAAATGTGATGACAATTTTGGCAAAAAAAATCAAGGAAATAATTGCAATTAATTAGTTATTAATTTTTTTTAGTAAACTATTATATATTTTTAAAACAAATAAAACTAAAATATTGATTAATTACAATTACATCCTGATTGTATAAATATAATATAGAGTATATTGTATGATTTTTAAAAAAAATATCAACTAGTATTTTTGTCATAAATAAACAAACATAAAATAAAAGTCAGATTATTTTTAGTATTAATGTATTATTTTATTAACTATTACTATCACTTTTATATTGATAATAAAATTAGTAAAAACTAATTGTTAATACAGTAAATAAATGTACTATAAAATTGTCAAATAATAAAAATGTTTTCAAACAGAAATTTTATATTATTTACACTAAATAATATTTAAGTTTATTTTATATAAAAGTTATTAAAAACTAAATAATACTTTACTTACTTATTGATATATATAAATATGATAAAACATTAATTGAATTATTATTAATTAAAAATAAAATACTGTATAGCAGTTTATTATTATATATAAAGTTTAATTTTTAAAATAATATTTAAAACATATTTGTATTTAATAAGTTACTTATTAGTAATAAAAATTGACAATATGTACAAAATAGCAAAAAAAAGTGTTTATAAATAGAAATTTAAATTTATATACAAAAAAAAAGTTTAACCACAATTTAACTAATCTGCTAATATTTAGCTGTAAACATAATTTATCTAATGATTTAAAAACAATTTGTCATAATTCAAAAATTAAAATAAAAATAATATAAAAATAATAAAACTTACATTATGACACAGAAAATATTCAACTAAAAAAGTTTAATTTGTTTTATTTTTAGATTTAGCACTTTACAAAAAAAAAATTAAATATTTTTTAAAAGATTATTATTTATAAACAAAAAATATTAACAAAGCTGAAACATTTATACACATTGAAAATGATTATTTCAATTATTGAATAATTATTGAATTAAAAAAATACTAATTGAATTAATACTAATAAGGATATATCTTTTTTGGTTAGTACTTAAAATTTAAAAAAAAATATTAAACATTGTTTTATATGCAATAAGATTAATCACAATATGCGATAAAAAGTTAAAAGTTTGATTTTAAAGAGTGAAATATTATTACCAACCATTAAAAAAAGTTTTTTGTTGTCTATTATTAAGAAAAATAACGGATATATTTGAAAACTGATTTCAATGTCATTTATTCCGGGACTGTTGGTATATGACTGTCCATCCATACATTATTTTACACTTCACACGTGTATTATTATAAGGAATTGTCTGTCAATAATGTATAATAATTTTTTTTGTTTTGTTTTTTTTTTAAATAGATATCTCAGTTTAATTTTTTAGCAGACAAACTTATTGCATTAGTTATTATAGTACTGTACAAGTCATTGATTAAAATTGTTTTTTTAACAATAATACACAATAGTAATGAATTAGTGTTATATTTATACATTTATATTTGTCAGTTATTAAATTTTACTAATAATTTGTTGAATTAAACTAACAAAATATTGTGTTACAAAATAATGATATATAAAAAAAATCCAATGACAAGGAAGTTGATAATTGCACGTAAATAAACTATACATTTACTGTATATATATGTGATTTATTTTCATATACTATACATTATTATTATATTATATGCAAACAGTATACATAAAATTCATGATAAAATGTTTAGTTTATAAGTATTACTTTTTAATAACATTTTAGAGGGGGAAAACTATTATTGCATTTTTACATATATGAGTACATATATAATTTATTAGTAAAAAATTTGTTGTGGCAATTTTTTTTATCTACAATATAAACAAAAATTTTGATTTCATATACAAGTTTTAGAGGTTAACAAATAGTTTAGTATAAGTTATATTGTTATTGAATATATTGTAGGAGTAGTTAGTCATTGTTGCGGTTAACAGTACAGACAAATAATTAAGAAAAAATTTAAGGTAAATGTCTTTTATTATTATAAATAATTATAATAAATTGTAAATAATAATATTTATAATAAATATAGTATCCTATACCAGGCATTTAGTTAATTATATGTACATAAATATATAATATAATATTATTATTAAATAGATTGTAATAATAATAAAAATAATAATAAAATAAAATACTTACATAGAAAATCAAATTAAACTACATAATTAAACTTTGATAAATAAAAAAATTTTGTTGAATGACAAACACACGTAACTCACGTTTAATTGTTATTATAAAATAGTATTAATATTATTTAGAAAATTAACACAAAATAACTTTTCTTTAAAAATATTTTTTATTGACATCACAAAAACATTTTCTTTTTTGTTACATAACAATCCATGCATACTATAAAATATTTAATTTATTTAAAATACAACAAAAAAAATTTTTGTAACTAAAGTTTTTTTTACTAAACTGATTTTATTATACAACAAAAAATTATTAAAGCACCTCAATATTGCTGTCCTAACCGGCCTTTCCTTTTTTTTAATTTATATATTTGTGTGCCACTAATTAATTGATCGTAAACTTGCAGTACGTGATTTAATCAACAACAAAAATATTTTTTTTTATTAAATATGTTTATTTAAAATTTAAAATTATGAATTAACTTACATGTATTATCGTACAGTCGTATAATATTTAATAAATTTTTTTTATTAATTAATTAAAATATATTATTAACTCCATTTTTTCAAAATTAACCATATGTTCAAAATGTGAATTAATTTTGATTGTATAATTTAATTTGTATTAACTATGATATTATGTTTCAAACTCAAAAAATTATTTTTATTTAAATATTTGTTATAAAATATTCTTTAAATAGTTTTTTCAAATTATATGTATTTCATTTGAAAAATTTATTATTATTATTATTATTATTATTACTCAATTCTTTAATAATATTTGACTAAATTTTAAAATATATATTTTTTAATAAAAATTTGTTGAATATGCTTTATAGACATTTCAAACATTAAATAAAATATTTTGATTAATATATTATATATAAATATATTATTAGTCATACAATTATTATTATAAAACAACACTCAGCATACAATTTATAATTATTAATTGCTTAAGTTAACAAAAATAGATGTCATTATATATATTATATATATAATAACTAAATTAAGTATTATTAATGATAACCTATTATTATTAGCACTTTAATAACTATTATAAATATGATAATATTGAGTACAGCATTTAATTTTGTTTATAACTTTATTAACTAAAATCTTGTTTTTAATAAAAGTCTTTTAAAAAGTGAACATTTTATTGACATTTGAAATACAGTACAGAACTGGCAGACTATTTGCTGAAATGATGATAATATTGTTAAGCAATTATCTTATCTTTTTTTAATTAAAATATTTAATACATGATTTTTATAACTCACTATAAAACACTAGAAACAATAAGTAATTAATATAAGTATTATAATTACTATAACTACAAAACTAATTTGAGTTATGTTGAAGTATTAAAAAAGTAGATAAAAAAAATTATTAACAATAATTAACAATAATATTAAAAATAATGAACGTACAGTATTTTAGTTATTAATTTAATTGTTTTGTTTCTAAATAAATATTTAAACACTGTTAGGTTTGGTGGTACAGATAGACATTGGGTGTGATATAAACTTTATATATTATTATATATAAAGACATTATTTAAAAAGTTTGAAGTTATAAAAATAAAATTTTGTTCAATTAATTTTTTGTTTAATGTTTTAGATTTTTTAATACTATTTTTTTAAATTAATTTATCAATAATAAAAACAGTCATCTTATTTAACTTATTTAATACTAATGTAAATACTGTATCAATGCTAATAGGATTTAAATTTAATGCATGGGTCATATAATAGTAAATTCTGTATATATTTAATATATCAAAATTACCACCAAAAGTGTCTTATATGGAAAATTATACAACTTTTAAAAACTTATTAAAAAGTTATATATTTGATAAATTTAAATAAATGCATAAATTTGAATAGTTTAAATAAATTTAAATCCAATTAATTTTTATATTTAAATAAATTATAATTACATTATTGTTTAGCATTTAACAGTAGTTCATGTTTTTTGTATTAATAAAAATCTATAATTATAATGATAATCTATTAGTATTGCTATTTTTTAAAGAAATATTTAGCTAATATTTTGAAAAAATAAATATTTATATTAAGTTTCATAAAATTTATACTTAAATATAATAATAATAAAACTATTTTTATTATATTATATTTTTAAAACTTAATTTTAAATTATATTATTAAGTTTAAGCTATAATACTTATTATATAAAAAAACATTGTTGGCATAATAGTATTACCGGTTTAATTTGTTTGAAGTTTCCCTCTTTTAATAATTCCCTTAAAAATTCACTTATATATGTGAGAAACTTGTTATTATTTTTATATTAAATACTGTATTGATATTTAATAGAAATGTTTTGTTTAAGCAAAAATCAAACCCACATTATTAATTAATTTTAATTACCAAAACTGTTTATTTACAAATAATATTAATTTCATTTTATTTATAATGTAAACGATGATATAATATTTAAATAGTTTAATTTAAGAAAAAAAACATTTTTATTATATTTAATTATTATAATAAAAATTTGAATATATTATACAATAAAAAATTGTAATTAGAAAATATTTTTTCCAAATAATAAAAAAGATATTTTACAAATATATAGATTAATCTAAAATTACTGTACATTACTATAAAAAATTATCACAATTAAAGCTTTACTGATATTTGGTATTATTTTGGTAATATTGATTATATAAATTTAATTTATTTTATATATATTTTAAAATATATAAATATAAATTAATCGACTTTTTTGACTCTTGTGTAACATTGAAGATAAAACTGAGCAAATAGTATCAAAAATAGCGGCGGTTGGGCTAAAAAAAATAAACAAATAATAAATGAAAAAAATAGTTTTTTTTAAATAAAATTAATAAAACAAATAATAAAAATAATGTATACATACTGGCAGCCAACCAAAAGGCAAACTGTGGATAGCCGTGTTGATACTTATAGATAAAGCACCCGTACATGCATAACAGTGCAAACTGTATCAACTGGATCTGTGTTATATACCGTTTCCACCAGAGAAACTTTTGTATACTGGGTCCAAAAGCTGCCAGTGCATAATACGAATACATGATCACATGGACGGCCGAGTTTAGCAAAGCAAACAGTGTAATGGCCGGCGATCCCCAACAGTACCATAGATATAGCCAACCGAGTATTGGTACGACAGTGTGATGGTAGAGATGCAATGCAGTAATTTGTCTGTATTTTTTGCGTAATACAAAAAACACTGTATCCAATAGGTCGACAAATTTGGTCAACCAATAGAGATAGAATGACCAAATATAGTCCATTGTGCGCTGGGAGTTATCGGAACCGTCCGGCCATCTAAAGTTGGCCAATTCACGACCATAGTCTAACCAGCGAAAGGCCTGAAAAAAGAAGTAGTAGTTGATGACCACCATAAGAGTATTGTAGATAAACATCGGCCCCCGTAGCTGATAGGGCTCCCGGTGTTTCATCATACGTGGGCCGAGTTTGGTAACGAACAGCAGGTACAGTGTCATTACAAATAGCATAGCCCAGGGACCCTCGCGAATCAATGGCAGGCCAACCGTGCGCTGATCGCCAGTGTCCTGCCAGTAGTGTTGCAGGTAATACCTGATGCCTCCCGACACCCGTGTGCTCGATGTCGAGTCGCTTACACGATAAGGGGTTGACATTACTAATGAATAGTGAATTGGATGTCTTGTATTGATTAGGAAAACCGGTTGACAATCAAAATAAAAAACACCCAACTATTTTCAGGTCGAAAATCCCGGAGCTTTCAATTAATTACAATCAATTGTATAGTAATTGAAAGGATTTTTCTTATGTAGAGATGATATCAAATTTAATAATAATAATAATAATAATAGTAATGATTATTATTATTATTATTTTATTCAATATAACAATAGACTATTAATCTTATCGTTTTGTTAACAAATATTTTGCTATTTAGTTTAGTACTAATATACAGTATTTATACACATAATAATATTAATAATAAAATAATATTCATTTAAAATGACAATTATTATAGTTGAAGAAAAATCAGTCTTCTGTTAATTAAAATTGAATTGAAATTTATATTATTAAAGAAAAATTTCACTATCAATGATGTTTTTGTTATACAAATTAAAATAATTCAAATTAAGTATAAAAACACAATGTATTTTTAAAAAAATATAATTTTAAAATTTATGATATGCACTGAAAAATAATTTTAACAAAAATATTTTCAACAGATTTTGTTTTATAAATATATATTATCTATTTATTTATATTTATAAGAGTTAAACGTTGATATTAAAATATTATTATATTACATATAATAACAACAATAAACTGTTTGTTTGTTGATAAAAATATTCACTTAAAATATAATAATTTTGCCATAAATTTAATGTTTTTTTTTTATTTTCTAAAAACAAATATAATGAAATATATGATAAGACTATGACAAATCTAATATTAAATACTATATATTGATTATTTTAGAAAAATTTTATGTGTATATTTTTCAAAAATAATAATAATTTTTTAATATTAATGTCATAGATATATACACACACATAACACAAGGCAATGAAAAAAAATTACAAATAAATTATTTTAATTTTCCATATTTCCTAAATAGTATAGAAAATAAAACCTTCAATACTTCCGACAATTATTAATTACATAGCTTTTTATGTATGATATTATACTGTATGTATTGATATATATATATAAATAAAATATACCTGTATTAATATATAAATTATATATTTTTTTAAAAATGTAATACAATATGTTTTAATAAAAATACAGTATACAGTAAATACCTGTAATTTATATGTCAATCTATATAAATATTATATGTAAACACTGTAATAAAAAATACTGTATTGTATTATTTACTTTATATTGATAACAATTTTAACAAACAATAGACATCATCGGGAGATAAATGTAAATCACATGTCAATAATAATTATTGCAGTAAAATAATTTTCTGAAAATTTCCAATAAAAAAATACTATATAAATTTAACATATTTAATAAAAAATAATGTATAGGTGTGGGAAAATTTTATTCAATTATTATTTTTATAATTCCTAATAATTATATGTCTATAAATAATTTTATGTAAACTATTTTATTTTTTTAAAATAACAATTTTATAGATTATGCAATTGTTATATTAATAAATTATTTTCATATTAATTAATACACGTATAATATTTAGACTTTTTGTTATTATTATTATTATAGATATTGTATTATCTTAATTTATCTAAACTTTTAATTGTATAAACTATATATTAAAATAATGTATTTTATGTTTAAAAAAACTGACATAAAAATAAAAATATTATCATCAATTTAGTCTATACGTTTTTTAAAAAAAAAATAATTATACTATTTTGTTTAAATTTAATGGCTATTAATTGTAAAATGTTTTATTGTTTTTGTTGTTAATTAATGCATGAAAATCATTTTTTTAAATTTATAAATATAGAAAATAAAATGCTAACATATATATAGTATGACCTCACAAGTAAATGATATGTCTATTAACGGCCGGTTAGATAATGATATGGAATGTCCGGATTTATAATATTTTTAAAAAAAAATTTATTTTTATGTTTGTCTGTCTGTCTGTCTTTTTATTTAATTGTAATGGTTGTCAAAAACGGAAAGGGTATTGAAATATACCTTTAGATACATATAGTATATTATATTATTATTAATTTTTATATTATGTATTATCCAAACGACAATTGTATTTCTCTGTTAATAATATATAATATTTTCAGTTTAAGTTTATTTAAATAATTTGTTATTTTTTGTCGCCTAATTTGAAGGTCAATTATTGTATGCAAAGTAAAAATGTTTTATTTAAAATAATATAATATACAATTATCATACATATAGTTTTATCATACAATTTAAAATGTGTGTGCATTTATTTATAAATAAATAACTAAAAATATTTATTGATAAATTATCAAAAATTATTTTTTAATAAAAATACATAGTAAATTTATTTAAATATTGCAATGTTTGTTTATATTATATAATTTAAGTTATTTTATTAAAAAAAAAGATTATTAAATAATTATATAATTTAGTTAAAAGAAAAATATTCAAAAAATACAATATATAAGCTAATTATTTTAATATATCTATACAATTAATATTTATAAAATGTTTGTCCCTTTAATATAATTAAAACAACTTATTATAAAACTAAAATTTAAAAAAAAATATTACACATATTAAAGTACACATACATCACAGACAAATAAATAATTATAATATATTGTATAGAAAAATATAATGATATTATAAAAAAACTAATAATTAATAATATATAGTAATCTATTGTTATAATTAATACTCTTTTTTCTAGCTCTGGCAATATTAGTGTTGTCCTCCCGGAGCATACCGTACTGTATATTAAAAATATAAACAAACAATCCTAAACCTGGTTGACTAATATCACCGGCAATTGATTACATTTTAACAATTATTTAACTTAATTCTATAACTTATTAAATTACAATTTATTATCGTATATTAAAATCAATTATAGTTTATATACGTATATAAGTATTTGATTTTTGTAATATAATTTTTATAAAAAATTTTCTGAATATGTTTAATAGGCATTTCAAATATAATATAACATATTATAATTAATATATAGAATATTACTATTACAATTGCTAATAATTTAAATAAATCTTCACGCATTTCAAAATTATCAAATGTATAAATTAAAAATATTGTTATCATAGGATGTAATAAATATATTGAATTGTTTATTTGTCGATGTAGTCTAAAATAAGGGTGCGATAGCCACAGTTTAATTGGACTATTACTTTGCAATATAATAAACATTAAATAGCATACAATTATTGAATATAATACGGGAAACATAGCTGATTCATAGGCACCCAATAGTGTATCCGGTGATAGTAGTATTTGAGAATCGGCCATAAAACCAATGATAATGTTTGTTGACAGTAATAATGCTAATAATGATATTATATGTTTAGCACTGGTATTGTTATAAATGGTATTTCTGATGTCAATGGTTTCGCACAGATAACCAAATAATAGTCCGTTAAAATACGGGCTAATGTAATACCACGGCTTCATATGTAACTGATTTGTCGGACTATCTATTGGACTATATATTAATATTATTAAATGTTAGATATTTGTTTATTAAAATAATATATTATTTATAATAATAGCAATTATTGGGATATTAATGATAATATATTATACATATATAAATTATATAAAATTATATATATATATATATAATAAATTACAACAGAATATAATTATTAAATTATATGTTACTTACAATAAAAGATTGCATTGAATTAGTGTTGGATTAATCTTATATAGAAAACCTTGCATTTTTAAACCATTGATTACATATACATAAAATATAATGAATGTTGTCATTATATTTGCTAATAAAATTGATTTTAATCCAAGATTATTGTTTCTATATTAGTAAATTAATGATACAATAGATAATTTTAATAATACATATAGTTTTGATTTATTTATATTAAAATTACCTGTGTAATAGTATAATAAAATATGGACTAACTATAATAAACAGTATTAATGTGTTGTTGCTCCATAACCATGGCATACACTGATAATAATATAAATAATAAAATAAAGATTATTAAAATTATTTTTTAAATACTTTAAATAATATTAAATCTAATTATTTATAAAAGTTTTTCATTAGTATTTATAGATTTTCACAAATAAATCACTAAAAAGTCAAAATTAAAGTCAAATATAGACATTTTTAATATATTAGTAATAAATATACTGAATTACCATTTTGTCGGATGAAAATATATTTGAAATTAACAATATATTTAGCCATATATTGTCATTACAGGCCTCGTAGACATCGGGATCCGGGCGTCGGACAAGTGTCACATATTTTATTAATATATAATACATGAATAGTACAAAATACTGATAGGGAAGTATGTTAATTAATCTGGTGACGACATACTGTTTCCATATACCGGTATAGTTGTTACCTTTTACTTGATTAGTGACCAACACTTGTTTGGTCAGCCATCGGCCATTGGATATACCGTTAATGATGAATGAAAAGTGCATTAAATGGCGCGCATATAAAACAAACCAAAAGTTTAAATAATTGCCGAATTGGTGTTGTTTGCTAACTATTACAATAAATATAATTAAGTGACCGATAATTACACCCATAGTGTTAATAAAACGTAAACCATTAAAAAAACTAAACTGATCATGGTCAGGATTTATCGTATTATTGAATGGGTTAATAGTTTTAAAATTTGTTATCAGAGAAAATTTCAATAAATCAGATTTTAATCCAATTTTGATATTATTATTATATATTTTATATAAATGTATAAATGTAGACACAAATACTAAAATAATTAAGATTATAATAATCAATAAAAATATAATTAAATCTATCATTTTTTAATTATTTTAAATTTAAAAAAATGATAAAATTATAAATAAACTTAACAAAATAATACTTTAGTACTTATTGTATTAAAATCTATCACTGAACAGCTTTTAAAATGATATAAAATAATTGAATAATTTAAATTTGATAAAAATAAATACATTATAATCTACACAATACAATATATTATTTTTATATAAAAATGAAATTAATTTTTATTTCATTCAAAAATTCTTATTAAAATTATTTTAATTTGTTTGTAATTATTTTTTTACAATAGTATGATTATCATATGATAATTAAAAAATAGACCTTTAATAACAATTTAAACACATGTCAAATCACATAAATAATTTTATTACAAATATAAATCAGAAAATAAAAAATTTAAATATGTAAAATATGCTGTACATATTATAATATATTAAATATTATAAATTTAATTATTTAATATATAAATAGGCAGTCAATTAATCTTGCGTCGCGTAAAACTTGAATAACTTTTGAACGGTTAGAGATAATTTAATTTTGTAAAATACATTTAAGAATATCATATCGACCACACTTAATATACACGCAATCACAAAACTAGGGTGACCAGATATACAAAATATCGGGACCAACGCATGACACTATGCTACAGGCAAAACTACAACTGACAAATTTATTTTGACAATGAAATTTTGTAGTCAAGAAATAATAGTTTAATATAAAAAAGAATCATCAAAATCGGATTGGTAGTTTTACTTTTATGGTTTATTAAGTTTGTCATAAATCATTATATAAAATAGTTTAATATAAAAATGACGTTATTTATGACTTGTATATATTTATTAGATAGATTTTTTAATTATATTACTAATTCTAAAAACAAAATTTCAATATGTCGATTAGTTTTTGAAATAATCGAATTACAATATAAATCACACTATTGTAATTTGATATTAAAATTTTTATTGAAATTCAATTATTTTGAAAAATAATCGACATATTTAAATTTTGTTTTTAGAATTAGTAATATAATTGAAATATTTATCTAATAGTCATATACAAGTCATAAATAACGCCATTTTCATATTAGACTATTTTATATAATATGATTTATGACAAACTTGATAAACCATAAAAGTAAAACTACCAATCCGATTTTGATGATTCTTTTTTATATTAAACTATTATTTCTTGACTACAAAATTTCATTGTCAAAATAAATTTGTCAGTTGTAGTTTTGCCTGTAACATAGTGTCTTGCGTTGGTCCCGATATTTTGTATATCTGGTCACCCTAGTTTTGTGATTGCGTGTATATTAAGTGTGGTCGATATGATATTCTTAAATGTATTTTACAGAATTAAATTATCTCTAACCGTTTAAAAGTTATTCAAGTTTTACGCGACGCAAGATTAATTGACTGACTCCTTATATAATAGTTTGTTTTCATTTTTAGTATTAATAAATTATTAATAGATAATAATATATAGAATCTATATTATAGATAAACTATAATTAGTAGTAATAATAATAAATTAGTTTTTAGACAAACAAAACAAAAAAAAAGATGACATCATTTGTTTAAAAAATATAATTAATTTTTATAACACAACACATACTGTAGTCTATCTCAAGAAAATTGTTAGTTATCATTACATACAATGATTTTTTTTAAGAATTAATTGCTGAGTCCGTAGTAAATATATACCGGCGCCAGAAAGTTGTCGTTCAATTCCAATTTCTACCAACATTTACATCCCTCAGCTTCGGGATTGTCTATCAAAGTCTGGGCGCACCGTCTGAGACCATACAGCGGACAACAGTTAGTATAATCCAAGTCAAACTGTTTGGAAAAATACAGTAGACCCACACCAGTCACTATAAATACCAGTGTAAAAATCTATACTTAAAATATATAAAAGTTATTATAAAAAAAATCAATTTGAATTTTTAAATTATTATATAGAATAATTTTTTTTATACAATTGTCATAATTTATAATTTGTTTTATTTGTTAAAAAATAATTTCATTACTCTTTTTTTAAATATCAAACACTATATGTCTTCTATCAATTGATTACTTCAATAATATATTATTCTTTTCGGATTCTTTTGATGTCTGATTGTCCGCCAAAAGAGTTGTCGTTGTCGTTGGAATTATCGGTTTGTTGTCTTTTTCTATAGGATTCATGGCATCCATGATCTTCACATTCATCGCCCGATTCATTGCCACAATCGTTGTCATCTTCATGTGAATTACTTTTAACTGATTCTAGCGATGACGGCGATGACTCATGTGATCCAATGGTTTGTACGAACAAGTCTTTAATATCTATAAAGTCTATATTGAGAGGTATATCACTATCTCGACTATTGAGCCATTGATCCAATAACTGTAAGTGATTGGTGTAGTCTATCCCAGAGAAAGAATTGAGATCTGTATTGAGTTCATCGATAGTCTTATGTAAGTCTGCGGACATTTCTCTCAATTTATTGCATCTTTCTCTTGATTGATGTGTCTTACTGTCGGCCATACCGTTGATCTCATTTGTAATTGCATTCAATTGATTGATAGCTCTGTCTCGTTGTTGGACACTCTGATTGTACGAATAGTTGATCCGACGTTATAACTGATTTGTTTGCCTAACGTAATGCAATTCACTAGTGATGTGATCGCGTCTTTGTCTACAAACTTGGATGTATTGTTGCAATTGATAGTCACAATTATAATCTTCTTCATGTAAATCACTGTTTACAGACTCATCTGTTTCATTGTAGTCCACAATGTCTTCAAATTCTTCAATGAAAGGTAAGTCAGATTGCCTTTCATTGAAGCCATTCAATTAAAAACTGGTCTTTTTCTGAATGATTATTAACTATTATATTATAATAAGCAATAGAATCTCTGTCCAGTTCTTCAATGGTCTGTAATAATACTATAGACTCTTCTATCAATTTGTTGAATCTTTCAGTTGTTTGCCGCTTACTGTCGTCCACACCAATGATCTCATTGTTGATGGCATTCAAATCATTGATAGCTTTGTTTCTTTGTTGGATATTTTGATTGCGGACAGAATACACGCAATGGAGTAAATGGATTTGTTGTAGAAGTGCTGCAATGGTTTCACTTATCTCCTCATCATTATCCTCCTCCTCCTCATTATCCTCCTCCTCATCATTCAACTCAGCGACAGTATCGGGAACCGTTTCGCAGTCATATTTATTGGCAGACACTACGTTGTGAATAATATTTCGATAGCTCAGCCGACACACTGGACACCGATTGTGGTCAGCGGACCACTCATGAATACATTCATAGCAGAACTCATGCAAACAAGTGTCGGTCAATGAACGGTTAGACACAGGTTGGAGACAAATGGGACAACTATTTGGATCTTTTGTGAGACCAACGATTCGTTTAGCTCTGTCTTTGTTAATATCATTGATGTCTTTTCTGTCATTAAGGTCTTCATCAGATGAACTCTTTTTAGTCATATCTATGGTGTCTTGTTGTTGGTCTAAGATTTTTTTTTTTAGTCAAAAGACATGTTGAGCTTCACAACCGATGGATTTTTTTAAATTTATTTTTTTTTAAATTCTTAGTTTATTAACAATTAGTAAACAATTAATTGTTCGTTCATTTAATTCACGAGACAATTATAAATTATCTTCCACTCGTATAAATACATTAATAGATTTTATTATAATAACTTTTATATGATATATCATATGAGATATTTTTTATGAAATTATAGAAAACAAAACTTCAAAATATTTATTAATCTGTAGATGTGTTCATATATCTAACCGTAATAATGGTTTGTCGGCACCGCGCGATTTAACTAAAACTATCGTTTCACTCGTGTATGTACCGTAAAACCAGGTGCGAGACGTATAACAAATCAATATTTAAAAAAAAGTTATGAAAAAATAAAGTTTTAATTGTGATTACAAACAAAATTACATAAATGTACAAATAGTCCATTTCAACAATGAAAATCATTAATAATTAAATTATATTGATTTGCTATAAGTCTCGCGACTGGTTTTATACGAGTAAAACACACTTTATTGTAATTTAATGTACTATTTATCATAAATTATTTTAATTATAAATTATATCTTTAATTATTGGTGTGTGGGGTCTGTGAGGTTAAGGAACTGGTGCTGACTCATGTAATCTCATATAAATATAAAGTAGACTTTTGATAGTATTTTATTTTATCCGGTTGTGAACTATTGAATCGTTTGATAACTTCGGGAACGGCCGTTGGTTTGACCACTCCTTTAATCAAATGATTGATTGGTCTAACAAAGAGATCGGGAATAAAGCATAGTTTGCCAAAACAAACCATCGGTATATTTGTGGCCAACTATTCAGATGCAATGCTGTCATAAATCCATATAACTGATAGCATACAGACGTTTAAAAAACATTTCAATCAGTTTCTGTATCTCTTGTTTTGTCATACATTTGATATCTTTACGTATATTTAGTCGTTTACATTGTTGTCTAACTGATCCAATCTTTGCAAATCTTTTAATTAAATATTGTCTACCAATTTCTATCTCTTCTTCTGTAAACTCGGACTCACGAGTGAACTGTCGGTAAATCTGTTTAGACTTAATGTCTATGTTTTTATCAGAAAATAATTTTTGTGACAAACAGTTGCTTATTATTTGTATTAATAAAAACGATATCAAAATTAATTGTAAAAAAATTAATATTTTTAAACTACTCTAACATTTAGGATCTAAATTAAAAAGTCAAAAATCAATTAAAAAATAAAGAAAAAATAAGAAACACTATAATCGATACAACACTACATTATTTTTTAATAAATAATTTTAAAACCATATGTTTTTACTATATATAAAATCTAATTGAAATATGAATAGTATTACTATTTACCTAAAATTTTTTAACAAAATCAAGATATATAACACTTTAAAAAATAATTTTGTATTTATTTGTGACAATTTTCACAAACAATCTTATATTTATAAAAAAAAACATAACATATTTATTCTTATATTTCAATTATTTAATTTAAATCATTGTTATTTCTATGGGAAATTTTGTTAAATATTATTAAGCAACGGTAGGTTAGTGGGACAGGTAGACGAGTGATGTGTACATTTTATTTATATGGTATAGCCCACCGTGATATTAGCTAATTGTGATTTAATTTAAAAAAAAATTTTTTAAGATTATGTTTAGTTGTTTTGTAGGATTAGGTTCTGTGAAACGCGGGATTAAATAGTATTTTTTAAAAAAAATTTTATTCTAAATATAAATATTAATTATTACTAGTAATTTAATTTGCTTAAAAATATAATCTTAACAAAACTACAGATATCCTAATTTAACAACAAATTAAATCCGCATAAAAGCATTTTTATAGATTTTTAAACTAAAATATTTAACAATTTTTAATATTAAAAAATTATTAAATATTATATTCGATAAATATTATATAATTAAATATTTGTATGTAAATAGTGTTTATTTTAATGTTTAATTACGTCATATTTAATTAATAAAAATTAAATTTAATATATATATTTTTTAAATATGTAACTGTTTAATAATTATTTTGTTTAATACTTATTTTTTATGAGTGATATATATTTATTTATACCTTTTATGTTATATTTTTCTATACAAAATCATTGATAGAATGATAGATTTAGTTATATTTTTATCAATTATAACTATATTGACTATATTAGTAATCGTGTCTACATTTATACATTTATATAATAATAACAATAATAATAATAACAAAATTAAATCAAAATCTGTTTTATTGAAATTTTCTTTGATAACAAATTTTAAAACTATTAATCCAATTAATAATGCGCTTAAAACTGACCATGATCAGTTTAGTTTTTTTGATGGTTTGCGTTATATTAACACTATGGGTGTGGCAATTGCACACTTTATTATGATACTTGTAATGGTTAATCATAAACACCAATCCGACAAATATCTCAACTATTGGTTTGTTTTATATGCGCGTCATTTACTGCAGGTGTCGTTTATACTTAGCGGTGTATCCAATGGCCGATGGCTGACCAAACAAGTGTTGGTCACTAATCAAGTAAAACATAATAATTATACCGGTATATGGAAACAGTATGTCGTCACCAGATTAGCTAATATACTTCCCTATCATTATTTTGTACTATTCCTGTACTATATATTAATAAAATATGTGGCACTCGTCCGACGTCCGGATCCCGATGTCTACGAGGCCTGTATTGACAATATATGGCTAAATGTATTGTTAATTTCAAATATATATTCGTCTAACAAAATGGTAAATTATTAATTTATATTTTAATAAATATAATTATTTAGTATTTACAAGTTAGTAATTAATTATTGATAAACATTTTTAAAAATAATCCCAATTGCAATAAATATTAAAAAAAAACAATTTGACTTATCTTAATACATTATAAAATAATAAGCTTAATAATTTATATATAATAATTTTTTTTATTAGTGTATGCCATGGATGTGGAGTAATAATGTAATAATACTGTTTATTATAGTTGGTCCATATTTTATTATAGTATTACACAGGTAATTTATATAAAAATAAACTAAAATTATATATTTATATATATATATCGTATTATGTTTGTTATTGTATCATTAATTTTCTAATAAAGAAACAATAAACTTGGTATAAAATTAATTATATTGGCAAATATAATGGCATCATTTATTATATTTTATATATATGTAATCAATGGATTAAAAATGCAAGGTTTTCTACATAAGATTAATCCAACGCTAATTCAATGCAATGTTTTATTGTAAGTAATAATAAATATTTTCAATAATAATAATTAAAAATATCATAACAAATATAAAATAAAAATAATAATTATATATTTAAATAATAAAATACTTAATAATTATCAATTTCTACGGATAGTCCAATAGATAGTCCGACAAATCAGTTACATATAAAGCCGTGGTATTACATTAGCCCGTATTTTAACGGACTATTATTTGGTTATCTGTGCGAAACCATTGACATCAGAAATACTATTTATAATAATACCAGTGCTAAACATATAATAAAAATAATGGCATTTATATTGTTAACAAACATTATGATTGGTTTTATGGCCGATTATCAAATACTACTATCACCTGATACACTATTGGGCGCTTATGAATCAGCTATGTATCCCGTATTATATTCAATAATTATATGCTATTTAATGATTATTATATCAAAAAGTAATGGTCCAATTAAACAGTGGTTATCGCACCCTTATTTTAGACTACATCGACAACTACACAATTCAATATATTCATTACATAGTTTGCTAATTATTTTATTTATTTATGCGAGTGATGATTATGAAATGCATTCATATAATTTTAAGTTAATGGTAATTATATTTTTATTAGCTTATATAGTTGTCATTATATTTTATCTTATGTTTGAAATGCCTATAAATCATATTCAACAACTTTTTATAAAAATAATAAATGAAAAATCAAATACAGACTAACAATTATGTAAAAATTTAATTTAATAAAGTTTAGTTTATAATGCATTATAAATTTAATTATTTATTAAAAGACTGCAGTATATAAATTTATATACAGTTTTTAAAAATATGAATATCATTTATATTTAAAACTAGTTGATAATGCTAAAAAGCTTAGCCCAGATATATAAATTACTAAATTTTTATTATCTGAATTTATAATATAACATCGAAAATAGTTAATAGATAACCCGTATATTTTTATATGGGATAGTATATTAAAATATTTATTGAAGATAACTATTTACATGTATATATCATATGAGACATTTCCGGTAGTATAACCAACAACAACAAAATGCAACTGTTTTAACAGTCGACTGAAATTATCTGGCAAATCATATAATTAATTTAAAAAATGACCAATCTTATTTAGTTTAAAATTATTTATAACTTTGCTCTTGGTCATTTTTAAATCCAAAGTATAATTGTAATTAATAGCATCACCGCCGCCGCTGTTATTTAAGACTCTCTCTCTCTCTCTCTCTCTCTCTCTCTCTCTCTCTCTCTCTCTCTCTCTCTCTGTGCTATTAGTGCTTTACTATACAGTAGATACTGAATCAGTGATAAAATAGTAAACTTATTAAAACGATTCAATAATTTTGTATAAACTTTTAATGTATAATAAATCATAATATAATAATTTCATGGTATGACATCTATAAAAATATGATAACATTTTTAATTCAATTAAATGAGTAAAACTATTTTTTGTATATATATATATATAAATATAATAAAAAATTAATTTTTCTAAACTAAAATCAGAAATTTTATTAAAAAAATATATAAATTTATATATCAATAAATTTATTAAAAGTCCAACATTGAATTTTTTTATAATTTAGTACAATAAATCAAATCAAATCAAAATTTATTTATACAGCCTTGCATTCAGTTATAAATAAATTAAAAATATGAATAAAAAATAAATATATATTATTTAAAAATAATAATAAAAATACTATTTATAAAATTCAACTGATTTAAATCGTATTTAAATTTTTAAAAATGTGTTTCTAAGTTATCATGTCAAAATCGTATCAAAATCATTTTATTATTTTAAAAAAACAAATAGCTAAAATATTTTTTTTAACATAAAGACATACTACATAATAGTAAAATATTTAACATAATTTAATACAAATAATTATTTTATATAATAATTAAAAATATAAATAATTATATAGACTCTATAACTAGTTTTTTAAAAATTAAGTTATTTATCATACATAATGAAATTATCACAAATAAATCAATATTATGCCAATCGATCGGTGCTTATCACTGGTGGCACTGGTTTTGTTGGAAAAGTGTTGTGCGAGAAACTGATCCGTTCGTGTCCTCAGATAAATACAGTCTATGTATTGTTGAGACCAAAGTCTAATCTATCGGCAGATGAAAGACTCGATAAAGAAATCATTAATTCAAATCTATTTATTAATAGCATTAACATAGACTGTCTGAAAGTTGACAAATTGGTTGCCATCGCCAGTGATATCTGTGAACCTGGTTTGGGATTGTCTGATAATGACAAAGAGCTTCTTATAAGCAAAGTATCGGTCGTTTTTCATTTGGCCGCTTCAATCAATTTTGTCGGACCGGTCGACAGTTTTATCAAACAAAACGTGTTGGCAACTAATGAAGTAATGAAATTGTGCGATAAAATGACAAAACTAGAGGTAAACAAAAAATGTTTTTTTATTAACTAAAAATTAACTATAATTATAAACTAATATATATATATATATATATATATTGTTTTATTTTGTTATTACATACAGACAATTGTTTATGTATCGACAGCTTATAGCAATTGTAATGTTAAAGATATCGCTGAAAGTGTTTACAAATTAAAACACAACGCTTTGGACACAATCGCCGCAATCAATTCAATCGGTGAAAGTCAAGGCTTCTCCAGTGAGACGTCAGCCATGAGTGAGCTGATGGACGACAGGCCTAATCCCTATACGTTTAGCAAAGCTATTGCAGAGAATCTAATATCTGAACAGTACTCGCATTTGCCGGTTGTCATCGTTAGGCCATCTATTGTAACACCAGTTTTCAAAGAGCCGATTCCTGGTATTAATAAAAAATAAAAATAAAATAAAAACTCTTAAATAGTATTTTAAATTTATTGTTTTTTAGGTTGGATTGATAATTTTAATGGTATTATCATGCTAACTTTTTTGTCAACATTGGGTATTGTACGCATTTGTGAATGTAAAAAAATATATTATTTAGACTTAATATTTTTTAAAAAAAAAATTAAGTTCCTATTTTTTATATCTTTTATCTAGTTTTAATTGATGGAAAATGTGATATAATTCCAGGTTAGTACAAACTAATAAATATAATTAATATTATATTATCTGATAATAATATTAATACATTGATAATGTATAATAATATAAGATGTATAGTAATATGTATGATAATGTATACAGTAGTAATATAATAATGTAAGTTAATAATAATAATACAATAATACATTTTAAATATACATTTAGTCGACATATTAGCTAATAGTTTAGTTGTTACGGCATGGCATACGGCAAGTCATCCCAATGATCGATATCGGGTCATCAATTTGACCAGCGGTGCACTCAATCCGATAACATGGAAACAATTAGTTAATTATTTAATGTCGGCAATAATGTCGGCGCCATCTATTCAAATGGTCAGACCAGCAAACTACACAATGTGTAAACCAATTGCTAGCAAAATAGATGGCATAAAATTTAGATTAAAACGGTTTGTATCGGAAACATTATTTGCCTATTTTGTTGATATTATGCAGGCGTTAATCGGTGGCAAATGGTCACTGATTAAACTGGTTAATAAATTACATTTAACGTTAAAAGTCTATAAATATTTTATGATCAATGAATGGACTTTCCATAGTAACAACTATTATAACATTTATAACCAACTGTCCCGTGAAGATCAGCTCATCTATTATTCGGATGTCCGACAAATTGAATGGAAAGACTATATATGTTGTCTATACTTTGGTTTTCGTAAATATCAGCTCAGAGAGGATGACTCTAATATAGACAGAGCCCGCAAAAGAGCACTAATCATAACAATAGTTTATTATACATTATTGATAACTTTATGGATCATATTTTTATATTTGTTATACTTTTTAATTATTTTTAAATAATATTTCTTTATATTCAAAATTTAAATTTATTATATAACCGGTATATTATTATAGACAAAAAAATTAATCAAATTAATTAATCAAAACAAAAAATCTTATGCTAGTTATATAGAAATACCGATTAGTTTTAATTAAACTTTTAATAATGTTTTTTTTTTAATTCTATATAATATTTATTTTCAATTATCTATAAAATGCAACACTTTGTAAACTGTTTTTTAAAACAATAAAATAAATTAATGATTTTTAATAAAGCTAAAAATTATGTTTTAAACATAAACTAGGTTTTTTGTTGATGTTATATTTAAACCAGTTGATAATGCTAGAAAACTTTTTATACAATCATTTTATAACCAAAATTTTAGTCTAAATGAGTCATTGTTTAAGTAAAATATTCAAAAAACTTTTAAGATTCTAGATTTAAAAGTTTTATATGAATTCATAGTCAAAATTACTGCCAATATATAACAATAATATTAAAAAAATTATAATTGATATATAAGATATTATAATTAAAATTGCTATTACATTAAATAAATTTGTACACATTTCATGATAATTATTTTATTAATAATATCAGTTGATCATAATTATCAACTGATATTATTAAATATTAGATCAGAAAATTAAATCAGTTGTAATAAATGTAATAATTTTTTTAGTTGTAGATGTAGTCTAAAATAGCTGTCTAAAAAATCAGTGTTTAATTAGACCATTATTTAACCATATAATGATCATTATATAACATATAATTATTGAATATAATACGGTAGACATAGCTAATTCATAGGCGCCTATTAGTTTAACCGGTAATAGTAGTATTTGATAATCGACCATCAAATCTATTATAATATTTGTTGACAGTATTAATGTGAATATAATTATTATTTGTTTTTTAGCTCAGGTATTATTTTAAGTTTGAATATCAATGGTTTCGTACAGATAGCCAAACAAAAAATCTGTTAATATAAGGGCTAATGTAATATCATTGCTTCATATGTAACTGATTTGTAGGATTATCTATTGAACTATTTGTTAATATTATACAATTTTAGATGTTTATTATTATTATTATTATGATTATTAGCAAAGTTTTTAAATATTATATGTTAAACACTTAGACTAAAAAATTGTTGATCTTATAGAGAAAGCATTGTATTTTAACAATTAATTTTAACATTGTAAAATTTAATACATTTTAATAGTTAATTTATTTAATTATATAGTTTAATAAATTATAGCTAATACAATATTATCATTTACTCAGTATTTAATTTTTCAAATATATTTTTTATAAAAATTTGTTGAATGTGTTTGATAGGCATTTCAAATATAAGATAAGTTATTATAATTAATATATAGATTATTACTATTACAATTGCTAATAACTTATAGAAATCTCCATGCATTTCATACAAATCAATTAAATAAACAAACAAAATAGTTGCCATTGGATGTAATAAATATATTGAATTATTTAGATGTCTATGTAGTCTAAAATAACGATGCGATAGCCAGTGTTTAATTGAACCATTATTTTGTGATATAATAATCATTAAATAGCATATAATTATTGAATATAATACGGGAAACATAGCTGATTCATAGGCACCCAATAGTGTATCCGGTGATAGTAGTATTTGATAATCGGCCATAAAACCAATCATAATGTTTGTTGACAATATGAATGCCATTGTTTTTATTATATGTTTAGCACTGGTATTATTATAAATAGTATTTCTGATGTCAATGGTTTCGCACAGATAACCAAATAATAGTCCGTTAAAATACGGGCTAATGTAATACCACGGCTTCATATGTAACTGATTTGTTAGATTATCTAATGGACTATTCAGTTTAAATTAATAAATGTTAGGTATATTTATTATATTTTACAATACCGTTAAATACTAATAATAATTATAATAATAGAAGTTATTGCGATATTATTATTAATAAAATATTTATATATGTTTTGTTACTTACAATAAAAGATTACTAGGAATTAGAGTTGGATTGATATTATAGAGAAAACCATTCATTTTTAAACTATTGATTACATATACATAAAATATTACGCAAATTGTCATTATATTTGCTAATATAATCAATGTTTTACCGAATTTATTGTTCCTATAATAGTAAATTAAATTTACATTTAATTAACTTAATATTACAATAAATCTTAGTTTGTTTTTTTTAATTAAAATTACCTGTGTAATTGTATAATAAAATATGGACTAATTATAATAAACAAAAATAGTGTATTATTACTCCACATCCATGGTATACACTGTAAAAATATAAATAGTATTAAAAATAATTAAGTATTAATATATAATAAATCAATATTATATTTATGTTTAATTATTTATTAAAAAATTATATTTTGCATTTATTGTTTTTAAATGTTTTTTTTAAACAATAAAACTGTAAATAATAAACAATATAATCAATTCTAATAAATTCTTAAAACTATAATATATTATATTAATTATAAAATTTGTTACCATTTTGTCGGATGAAAATATATTTGAAACTAACAATACATTTAGCCATATATTGTCATTACAGGCCTCGTAGACATCGGGATCCGGCCATCGGACGAGTGCCATATATTTTATTAATATATAGTACAGGAATAGCACAAAATAATGATAGGGCAGTGAGTTAGCTAATCTGGTGACGACATACTGTTTCCATATACCGCTATAGTTGCCTCCTTTTACTTGATTAGTGACCAACACTTGTTTGGTCAGCCATCGGCCATTGGATATACCGTTTATGATAAATGAAAAGTGCATTAGGATTCGCAAATATAATACAAACCAATAGTTTAGATATTTGTCTGATTGGTTTTGTTGGCTCATAATCGCAGTGAACATAATTAAGTGACCGATAAATACACCCAAAGTGTTAATAAAACGCAAACCATTAAGAAAACAAAACTGATCATGGTCAGGTTTTATCGGATTATTAATCAAATTAATTGTTTTCAAATTTGCAATCAAAGAAAATTTTAGTAAAACTGATTTTGAAGTAAGTGTGTTATTATTATTATTATACTTATCATATAAATGTAGAATTGTAGATACAATTACTAATATAATCAATATAATTATAATTAATAAAAATATAACTAAATCTATCATTTTCTTAATGATTTATTCTATAAAATATATCACATAAAAAGTATAAACAAATTATTGTAAAACTAAATACTAAAAGCAGAGTATTTAATCAAATTTATATTTTAATTGACGTCATTTCACATTAAAATAAAGACAGTTTATGTAAATAAAATTAATTAAAATTAGTGCACATATTAAATATATTATTAATATAAAATGTTGTCTTATCTATCATTTTTTTATATGTTTGTATATAATTTTTTTTTTAATTATATAAAATAAACGAAATAAAATAATTTAACGCAACTTTTTTTTTAATTTAAATACTTTCAAAATGAAAACTTATGCATACAATATTGATAAATACTTTCAAAATGAAAACTTATGCATACAATATTGATAAATACTTTCAAAATGAAAACTTATGCATACAATATTGATAAATACTTTCAAAATGAAAACTTATGCATACAATATTGATAATTATACGTTATTTATATAAAAAGATCTCAACTTTTAAATATTTAAATTTATATTTTTGAATTATGTATTTTTCGCATTTTTTATATAATTTAAAAATTAAGTATTGAAATGTTTATTAAATTTGAATATTAAAAATGTAAGTTGTAATATAATAATGTAAATCTTAATTAATAAAACATATCAACAACAACAACAAAAAAAACTGTTGACAATTGTCTCGTCAAACAATTAATTTTTTTTGTGGTAATAATCGGAATGTTAAGCAAAAGAAATATTTTGTAAAAACTATAGACCAGTATCTTTGAAATCGTTTTTATAGTCAAACGTATGTTTAAAGTGTGTATAAAATTTAATTGAAATATGTATTTACTAAAATTTTTCAGTAGTATTTGTTTAATATGATTTTTTAGACATTTTAAACATAAAATAAATAATTATAAATTAACAAAATAGATGTCATTAAATGTAATAAATATGTTTAGTTTTAATTGATTTAATCTAAATTAGTAATGCAATAGTCACTGTTCATATAATAAATTATAATTGAAATATTTTGAGTGTAACTAATAATTATTATTTTATATAAAATATTTAATATGACATTAATTAATGTATTGATACTTTTTATTTATATACATATACTTTATAACTTAATAGTATTTTATACAATATTTATTTTTATTAAAATATATTATTATAATAATAATTTCAACATAAAGTTTAATACAGTACTCATATACCATACATTACAATAATATATAATATGAATTAATAGTTTCAATTTAATCACAATTTACTCGCAAAACAAATGTTGTGATACAATACTAATTTTTTTCGGTGATCTATATCTATCTTCTCTATTGTTGACAACCGCCCACTCCTGTGGTTCAGCCGTACCGAACAATTCGTAGAATAGGCCGCCAAACAAACAGATACCGGCAGACAAATACCATATAGTATTCCATTGATGTCGAGCACCGGTAGCTTCCTGTACATCATACAGATAGTCGATCCATAAATCAAATATTTATATTAGTACTATAATTATTTGCTAATCAATTAGTTTTTTAAAAAACCCGATATACCCTGTGATCGAGCAATAGGCCGACAATCATAGGTCCAACAAATCCTGTGGCCGAGGCCAGTGTGTTGGCCACACCGAATACTGTTCCCGAAAAATCGGGTGCATATTCAACGATAACGCCATACTCGCCGCCTGTAATAAACCCGTAAACAAACATTGCCAACAATAATAAGGCAATGACTGCACTGCTATCGCACTCAACAATCGGCACAAGTATTAAACAAAGAGCACATCCAAACATTGCTTAAACAATATAAGTATAAATAAGTTATTAATTATTTTTTTAAATTATTGTTTTATAACTTATTTTTATACCTAAACTTTGAAAATTTTTACGGTTTCGTGTCTGTGAAAACCAACCCTTAGTCTGTATCCATGATGACAGCGGACTGCCCGCCAATAATGTTGTGCACAGTACCACATACATGAGCGCATTGAACCAACTGTTTGTATGTATTGCCATACCGAATATGCTGTCCAAATATTGGGGCATTTTTGTACACAACAAATAGTAGCCAAAACTACCTGTGCTTTTGACAATAATCGAGGCCCAGACCACTTTGGATGCCAATATACTGCGCCAAGGAATTGTCATATTTCGGGCCGATCTTGAACTTGGATTATTGGCTACTATATACTTGAGCTCACTATCAGTGATTCTGGAGTTTTCATCGGGACTATTGGTAACCAAAATACACCAAATTATAAACCAAATTACATGTACCAGTGATGTCATATAGAAAACTGATGGCCATCCTCGTAGAAAATCAGTTTTTATCAGATAGCCGGCCATTGGCATTGTTAGGACACCGCCGATATTGCCGGCAAATGTTGTACCCATTATTGCAAAGTTTTTCTCCGTTGTTGGAAACCATTTGGCAAATAACGAGAACATTGACGAATAGACTACACCGTGAAACGCACCGATTAGGACACGCATACAGACCAACAGTCCGTAGTGAATGTTGGCCAACACAGGTATCAGAGCGTTACAGACGGCCGGTGCAAATATACCCAAACCGGCCATCCATTTGGCACCGAAACGGTCGGCATAGGAACCAAACAATTGGGTGGCCGTATAGCCATAGAAATAGGATCCGAGTATTATTCCCTGTACTGAATCATTCCATTGATAGATACCCTTTAAAAAATATGTCAAACAATTAGTATATTTAATGAATGTTTTTTTTGATTAGATCTAGAAATTATAGTTTAAATATGACATACCTTACTGTCATGACCTGTACTTGTATTATAAGTGTCAACATTATAGCACAGATCTTGTGATTTGTGTCTGTCCTCACTAACCGATGTTGTTTCCTCTACCATAGCTATGATAGCCACACTCAGATTAGATCTTAAAATGTACAGAAGCGTACAGCCTAGACATCCCAATATACCTATTTGTAGACGACATGGCACTAATGGCTTATTTGTATTGATTACTTGTGTTGTTTTAATCCGAAATGACATTAATTTATTGTACTATTTTTAAAAATAAATAAATATCAGTATCTAATATAGTTATGCTTTTTAAATACTGTATTATTATTATGTCAACAAAATAAACAAAACAAAATTATTATATCAAAAATTATTAGTTGGCATATAAACTAACTAATATCAATATTAATGATCATGATCTATTATACTAATGATTATATATATAAATATATAAAACAATAACAAAAATTAGTTTTACTTTAGTTTATAAAATAAAATAATTATGAAAAAAATAATGACATTAATAAATTGCAAGCATTTGCGATAGTTCTCTAAGCATTAAATTAAGTTTTTTTTATTTTTATAATTTTTATTATTTTTGCTAATATTATATTGTGGATACTTTAAGATTATATATATGATAGTTATGTAAGTGTATAGAAATTATTAAATTATATGATAGCGTGTCTATTGTGTATATATACATACTGTACTAATAAATTAATACGTTATAAGTTATAATAAAAATTTTATAATAATTTTAATTACAGAATAAACGTTATGTGAAATATTTTATAATAATAATAGTTTTATTTTATTTGTTGCATTTACTGTACAATTATTTATTATATAAAATTTATTTAATATGATATATATAAAAAATAGATCTCTGTAATAAACAATTATTGCACAAAATTTACAATTATGGTTACAATTACTCAATTAAGTATTCAAGTTTCATATATTATGGCAATAATACATTAATTATCTACAGTAAAAAAAATTATATTAATTATTTATAGATTGTCATTTATTAGTTATTTTTTATAGTTATCATCTAAATTATTTTTTTTCATAATTTAATCATAATTTATCATATATTTTAATACATTAGTTGTTTAATAAACATTTGGTAATTATTTTAATAAAAATATTTAGCAATAAAAATTTAAATATAGTATTGATTAACTAAAAATTAATTCAATATTTTAACATATAATATTATTATTATTATTATATTGTAAACAGAGTATTTTATTGATAATTTTATTAATTATTTTATTATAATATAAAAATTCGCTTAAATAATATTATGATATTTTCTATCTAAATATTTATTTATAAGGTGGTAAATTTTTATAAGTTAATGCATCTAGTACTGTTTGATTAATAAAACACTTTGTAAAATAATTAATATAATATCTGTACAAAATATCAATAAATATAATACATAAAATTTATATAATTATTGTAAATGTATAATATGAAACATTACATTTTAGTATAATAATTCAATAAAACAGTTCATAAATAATATATTAAATTATAGTTTGTTTTTGTAAAAACTAAATCAAAAAATAAATATTTTTCATTTTATTTTTCTCACTTTATTTATTTTCTAATAAATTGTTGTGAAAAAACATAATGTTAAAAAATTTATCAAAAATTTGTTTAATATTTAATAAAGAATATAATTATCAATATAATTTTAGTCAAACTAATTTGTCAAAAGTTATAACTACAGTGGGTTTGAATACGATGCCATTTATCATGATTGATAAAAATGAAAATATTGAAAATGGTCATAAAATTATCCAGGTATGCGGTCCATTATTAATATTGATCAAAGATTTTGCCATAAAACATAATTATGCGTAAGTAATATTGTAGTATACATTTTATAAAAAAAAATAAATCTATATGTATGTTTACTTTATTTATTGTGTTATTTTATTATATAAATTTAATATAATATTTTGTTTTGTTTATTAGTATTAAATATATAGATTTCATTAATATTGAAAATGGTTTTGATGAAATAAAACAATTGCCCAGGGATATTATACTAATGGAGAAGCCATATTTTTTATTCAACGACATTGCTTATCTACTCAATCTAACCGAAACCAGTATAATCGGTTTTGATACAATTGGGCACATTGCCTATAGAAAATATCCAGGCTCAGATAATATGATTGATGATTTCAATGAATACTATTCAAAAATCATCATGGCCATATTAGTTACCGCCTGTATTGTTGTCGCCTATTTGTCAATATCCTATAAAAATAAACATGCTAACTTTATTGTCCAATTAATTAATAGATTGTTTGATATATTGACATCACTATATGCACCCCATAGGCCATCATTGGCCATTAGTGGATCTATTAGCTATAAAATTATTATATTTACCTGGCTACTATCGGCAATGTTTATATCAAAATACAATGGCAATCTTATATTGGAGTCAATGTTGCGATCAATTGACTATTCAAAAATCGACACTTGGTATGGCCTGTACGAGCACAGGGATGTTGTCATTATTGAACAAGATTCCGGAGCATTGAAGACATTTGTAGACAGTTCGCCAGATCATCCAATGGCTATGAATTTTGCTAAACGATTGATACCGTATGGAACCGATCAATACTTTAACAACACATTCATTGACTCCGTAATCGATGGTCTATATGATGGCAAAATGGCATACGTTAGCAATCGGTTAACATTGATCTATCATTTGATGCGTATGGCTAAACAAATTGATCGACGCAGGGGTGTAACCGATTTTTTGGATCAATTACATTTGTCTAAATATGGTAGTCATCAATTGGCTCATGCAATGCCAGTATCATTTAATGCCGTTTACATACTCAATCATCTCAATAGATTGTTAGTACTGTACAATTTAATTTTATATAACACTAATTTACATATTGATATTAAACATAAGCTATTAAATTAATTAAAAAAAATTTTTGTTATTATAGTATTTCTAATGTTAAGGAAACAGGTATCTATAATAAATGGATGGCCACTGTACTATCATATCACGGTTATGCCATACGGTTTGATATGGAACCGGTCAGAGATATTGTCAAGTTTGAGATATTGGTACTAGCACAGTTAGTCCAATTATTGTATTTATTTTTCTGTATATTATGTTTTTCAGTGATAATTGTTTGTTTAGAAATTGTGTTTTATAAATATAATGTTTTGTTAATAATAAAATTAATTTTGATAAAAATATTTTTTTTTAATAAATAACTATTTTTTGATAAACATATATACTATTAATCATGGTTAAGCAAGGTTTTGGAAAACTCGATCTTAGGGGGTCAGTTGGCTTAACCCCCTGTCCCCTGCTTAACCTTGACTATTAATATATATTTATACATATTTATAATATTGTAAACACTGTATACTTAAAACAATCAATAATTTATTATTTACTGTATTATAAAACGCATTAGTAATTTGTATTACTTATAATATTATGTTGAAATAAATAATTAATATTTATTATAATTATTTCGCAAAAACAAAATTAAAATAATAATTTACATTAACAGTAAACATTCATTAAAAATTTATTAACTAAATAACTAAAACAAATTATCAACAAACTATTATATAACTTATCATTACTATTATTACTATTTAATTTTTAATTATTGTAATATAAGATAATATTAAAATTTATTAAAAAAATCTTTTATTATTAACTTAAATTATATACCTAATAAATAGAGTATTTATTATACAGATTGTATTTTTGATATTATAGAAATATCATCATGCTCAATTGATTTTCTATTATCACTGTTAGCTATCAGTGACCACGATTGTGGTTCAGCTGTACCGCCCAATTCAAATGACAGTGCACCAAATGCAAAGATAGCACCCGATAAATACCAAACAATATCCCATTGATGTCGTATGCCATTACCTCCCTGTGCACATTAATTAATAGATTAGCAATAAATACTAATATACGAATAATACAATATATTTTATGAATTTATTTTGTAATACAAACCCCATTATCAAGTAATACACCGACAATCAGTGGCCCAACAAAACCGGTAGACGAGGCCAATGTGTTGGTCACACCAAACACAGTGCCAGCCATGTTGGGCGCATACTCTGGTACCACACCGTATTCACCGCCCGTTATAAATCCATAGGCAGCCATCCCTATCAACATCAATGCTATGGCAGCATTGTTATTACACTTAACTACTGGGATCAGTATCAGACATATGGCTGGTGTGATCAGTGCTATTGGATTATAACAGTTATATTTAGACGTATTAGTTATCTATAAAATATATAAAATAGTTTACCAAATGTATGAAAATTCTTGCGATTTCTGGTTTGCGAAATCCATTGCTTACTGCGAACCCAATCAGAGAAAGGACCGGCAGTTATGTTAAAAATACAGAGCATTCCGTACATCATTGAGTTAAACCACGAGTTAGACTGTATAGACATACCAAACACAGTGTCCAAATAGGTGGGCATTTTGGTGCACAACAAATAATAGCCAAATGAACCGCACATTCTGGTCATAATTGATGCCCAAACCGGTCGGGACAGGAATATAGACTTCCACGGAATGATCAGTTTGTTGTGATTGTGTGACTGGGGATTGTTTTCGGTAATATAGTCGAGCTCTTGAACACTGATATTTGGATCGTCTGATGGACTGTTATGTACAAAAAAGTACCACAAAACAAACCAAATAATATGTATGATTGATGTCAAATAGTAGGACGCAGGCCAACCGTCCAGAAAGTCGGCTTTGCATAGATAGCCGACTATTGGCATAGTAATGACACCACCAAAATTGCCAAAAAACAGTGTACCGCTTACGGCCAAATTTTTCTCAGTTTGCGGAAACCATTTGGCCATCAATGAAAAAACACTAGCGTATACTACACCGTGAAAGGCACCGATAAGCACACGCATAAAAACTACCAGTCCATAATGCCATTGAGATAATACCGGTATCAGTGCATTGAAAAGTGCCGGCAACATAATGCCCAAACAGGTCATCCATTTGGCGCCAAAACGGTCGGCATACGAGCCCAACATTTGTGTAACAGTATAGCCATAGAAATACGAGCCCAGTATAACTCCCTGTGTCGATGACGACCAATCATATTTGGGTCCCTAATTAGAAAAAATTGGATAATTATTATTGTTTAAATTATTATCAAATTATTTTGTATTATTACACTATATTTGAATTTAGTTTCATTTTGACGACTGTCCAAATCATAGCACAAATCATTGGTCGTCGCACTGTTGTCATCAGTCATGACCTTTGATTCGTTGACCATTGCAATGATGGCTACACTCAGATTGGATCGCAAAACATATAGCAGACAACAGCCGATACACCCGAGCAGACCAACGAACACCCGTTTCGGTACCACTGGCTTCCCATTGTTGGCCAACTTTTCATTTTTCATAATTAATATAATATTATTTTTCAATAAATAATATTTTAGATTAATATTAATAATATTATTATTTATATAATATTAATAAATAAAATATATGTTTTTTTCAATACTGGTTATACAGTATTTAGCAAATTTGGGACTTAAAAAGTAGAATATACTCTGTAACCCATTATTTTTTTTTTTGATAAGTTGTTATTTATAACCAAAATTCTATGTAATTCATATATTTTTATATATTCTGTTAGTAACGGTATGTTTTAAGACAAAGTGGTATTACTATATTACTCAAGTAGTAGTAGTAGTAATAGTCTAATAATAGTGTTCAATAATGTCACTTATAATAATAATAATAATAACATTAGAAATTTCAGCTAATTGTCTCAGTATTTATATAAAGTTTTATTTAATATATAAATAATTTACCGAAACATCATATGTATTAATGCAATAAAACTTTTTTATTTTTATTTTACTATAATAGATATATCCAATAAAAATAAATTGTATCATAATTTTTGTTTTTGTGTGGTATTTCGCTATTACATAATATAACATATTTCTCATTAGATAAATGTTATAATAAATAAATAAAATTTCACCTAAAAGTACTGTTCTTGAACTTTATTGATAAGTGTTTAGTTATGTAATTACTAATACAATATACATTATACATGTAATTCAATAAAAAAAATTAAGTAAAACAACTGTCCTCTAATAAAACTGATAAAATATCTTTAAAAAACGTCTTAATCGATTACCGGTATATATAGTATAGTCATAATTTTTATCAAAAAAATGGTTATAACGGGTTTTTATATTTTTATTTTCAAATAAATAGAGCTAGACAAAATAGTTTTTTTGGTTTAATATGAAAACATTTTAATAACATAAATTTGAGATCCAAGGCCAGGGAGGAAATGTATTGTATCTTATAAACTAAAAGATTTCAAAAATACTTTAAAAATTTAATTTATTACATAGATATAAATTTATTAATTCTAAATATCACAATTGGTTTTATGCGATAATAATATATAACATTTTTTTTTGTATATTACAAATTTGAACATTTTTATTTATTTTTTTTTAAATCTCGCCTCTTAGAGCTATGCTAAATTAAATGTTATTATTTTATTATTTAACACAAAATTTATATGATTTCATAGTTTATTAATAATTTATTTTCTTCTTGCATCATAACTTTTTTAAAAAACTGTGTCAACCGTTTTTGAAATCGATTTTATACATATATATATTATTTACTTAAAGGTTAATTCCCTGTTTAATAAATCATAAAAACTTGTACTACTAATACACATAAAAAGCATTACATTTATATAGACTATTGTATTTTTATAATAATAATAATTGAGCAGTAATGATAATGTATTTTTATTTAATTTTATTTATAAAAAATATAGAGTAAATTGTTCATGATCAATCAAATAGGCCAATAGAGTACATCTACAATTAGCACTTAAACAATATATTATTATAGTATAAATAAATATATACAAAAATATATAATAAGCAAAAAAATGAATTAACTAAAAAAATTCTGCTTATTGTGACTAATAATAACTAAAAATATAATACAAAAAAATTTAACAAAATTTTTTTAATTGTAAAATATTTTTTGAATTATGTACTGAAATTTGTATTTTTTGAAACTAGATTGATCTAGTTTCTTTTATTATACTGTAGTATTGTAAATTACAGTCTGTAATTGATTAACATTGATATGTGTAAAATAATTAAAATTAGATTGCAATTCATATAAATCAAATGTTTATATGACAAATATAGTTACTATGGCATAGTATATGTATAATTTTTATTATATTGTCCTCGGTATAATTAGTTAGTAACAGTTTTAATGTTTTTTAAATTATTTCAAATAATAAATAACATTAATAACTCAAACTATTATTTTTTATTTTTATAATTTTAATATATTAATTAATTATAATAGATATTATTTTGAATGAATGAATAAATAAAAATGTAAAAACAATTCTAAAAAATAGTAATTTATTATATTTTGTTATATTATTATTATTATTATTATTATTATCAATATAATTATTATTAATAATGCACTTAATGTTGATATTTAAGCAAATATTGTATAAAAAATTAATAATTATGATTTACTATAAAAATTAAAATAAACATCATATTTCTGGTGTAGTACTAATTATTATTATAGTAATTATATTAATATTTACTATTTATACAATTGAAAAAGTAAAAATAATTATTATAAATAATTTACCTTATAATTATAGCGATATTGTTTAGTGGCAAGTAATGGTACATGCTCATTATTGAAATAACTTGATTGAATATCGTTAAATGACATAATTTAACAATTGAAAATAATAATCTGCTAATGTTAGTTTAATTTACTACATAAATAAAAATAATAAATTACAACAAAATAAAAACATTAAAAATCTATTTTATAGTATATTTAATGTTTTCCTATGTTTATATTTAAAGTATTAACATATGATTGATTGATATAAATATTTATAAAAAATAAAACAAAATTTTAGCGTTAATTAAGTGCGATGTTCTCAATATTAAAATTTTAATTCATTAAACCCTATTATATACAGTATTACTTATATTTAGTGAAATCTATTAAATGTAATGTAATATTTTTAATAAATATAATATTATTAACTATTGATTTAATATAAATAACACACTTTTATCAATTTTATACATTTATATATATATATATACTTAATTGATAATTTATTATTCAATTTGGTAAAAAACTATAAAATATTTTGACAGCACTAAAATGAAAATTACATTTTATTTAAGAGTAATTATATTAAATTTTGATACATAATATTTATTACATATAAATAATAATAATAAATATTATTATGATAGTCACGATGTTTAATTTTTTATAAATAAAATGATATTATTATTAAATGAATAAATTAAAAACATATAGAGTAGTTATTGTGTGTATATATATATAATAAGACATATATTATAAAAAATAAAATTAGCAATCATCATGAAAATCAAAAAATAAACTGATAATTAAATAAATTGTATAACAATTGTCTTAAAGTATCATCAATGCTAGTCATACATAAAAAAATAATTAATAGTATTTACAGTAAAACATAATTATTTTATAACAATTATTTTTTTTGTTATTTTTGTCTTATGATTATAGCATACAGTTTAAAAAATAATACAATTACTAACTAAACAATTAAATGAGATTTACAATAACAATAGAAAATAAAATTAAAAATATTACTTATTAATTATTTTCATATTATTATTATTATTATTAATTTTTTATATTAATTATTTTTTTAGATAATAAATTAAAAAATTAAAACATTTCACCATTATACATTTTCATTAACATTTTTATCGTTATCCTGATGTTTAATTTTATTATTATGTTGTTTAGTCATCAATGTGTCGCTGACATCATCACAACCGCTATTATTATTAGCGATAGCCCAGTGCTGGGGTTCGGCCGTACCGAACAGTTCATAGACAAGGGCACCAAATATATAGACCGCAGCCGATGTATACCAAACAATGTTCCACTGATGTCGGACTCCTGACGCCTCCTTTTTTAAAATTATTTTGTTGATAATTATTTATTATTTATTTATTTTTATCCCAAAATTTTAATATCAATAAAACTATTAACTTTTTTTTTAAAAAAATGTTATATTTTTAAAATACATACACCATAGTCGAGTAGCAATCCAACAAATAATGGTGCCATAAAACCGGTAGTCGAGGCCAGTGTGTTGGTCACACCGAACACAGTGCCCGCGTAATTAGGCGCGTACTCGGGTATGGCTGCGTACTCGCCGCCAGCAAAGCCAAATCCAAACAAAAACATACCGACCAATAATACAGATATTACGGCATTGCTATCGCAGCCGACCATCGGTATGATGAGCACCGATATGCAGGCACAGGTCATGCCTATTCAAAATTAATAATACATTTTGTTAATTTAAATGATAAAATTTGATGGCCTAATGAATTATTATTATATTAATATTACCGAAAGTTTGGAAATTTTTTCGAGTTCTTGTCAATGATGTCCACTGCTTGCTGGCCACCCATGTGGTCAGCGAACCGGAACCCAAAACAGATAGACCCAGTGTTGCATAAAATAATGAATTAAACCAACTGTTTGTTTGTATTGACAAACCAAACACAGTGTCCAAATATGATGGCATTTTGGCGGCTAATATATAGTAGCTAAAGGCACAGCATATTTTCGTAACCATTGATGCCCAGACCACACGGGATAATAGTATGGCCCTCCAGGGAACCTGCAAATTGCGTACAGTTTTGCTACCGGTGCTACATTTATTAGCATTTATATACTTAAGCTCGTCGTCGCCAATACGGGGATCGTCTGCCGGACTGTTATGCACGAAACAAAACCACATAATAACCCATAGTATGTGCATCAGTGATGTCACATAGAAAACTGTTGGCCAACCATCGAGTATTGGCAGTTCGCACAGATACCCGGCCAATGGCATTGTTATGACACCACCCAAATTGCCGGCAAACAATATACCAGTTACTGGATATGTCATCTCTGATTGAGGAAACCATTTGGCAAACATTGAAAACAAACATGAAAATACAACACCATGAAAGGCACCCATAAGCAGCCGGACAACCACTACGGCCATATAGTGTATGCTGGCCGCTGCCGGTATAAATGCATTGAGAATTGCCGGTATGAATACGCCAAATCCAATCATCCATTTGGCACCAAACCGGTCGGCAAATGTACCGCAAAACTGGGTCAGTGTATAGCCATAGAAATATGAGCCGAGAACTATGCCCTGAACCGATTGACTCCAATCGTATTGAATCTAAATGTTTTTTTTAAAGTGATAAACATAGGTATAGCTAAAAACTATTTGAAATCAATTGAGACTTACGGTACAGTAGTAGAAGCACTACTTGTAGCAGTAGTAGTAGTATTAGTAGTAGTACTCACTTTGCCTGTAATATCATTGTTATCAGTTGTAGTAATATTAACAATACTATTGATGTCATAACAGATATCCTGATTATTATTATTAAAATTATTGGTGTTATCACTATTGACAGCACTGTTATTATTAATGTTTGTTTCGGTTGTCAACAAGAGTTTTTCGTCGACCATCGCTATGATGGCCACACTAAGGTTGGACCGGACAACAAACAATAGCATACAACCCAGTGAACCTAAAACACCTACCGTCACCCGACACGGTATGACTGGCGGTTTGTTTATTTTAGCGTATTTAATATCACACATAATAATAATTAATTAGAGATTTCTATTTTGTATTAAAAAAAAATAAATATTAAAAATTTGTAACTAATTTTTTTAAAAAAATAATTTCATACACTAAACGCATTACATTTAACCTGTATATAGTAGCAGCAGAATCACTGGTTTGTTATAGAGAGTGAGAAAGAGAGATCATATGAGTACTAAAAACAATCGATTCAATTCTGGTTTAGACCGACTCTCCCGTCAGTCTCCCATTCCTAATGTCATAACACAGACACAATTATTTTTTGTAGTATATATACATTACACACAGTATATACTGTTTCAATCAATAACCTGTATTTTACTACTACTATGTTGTGATGTAATACTAGTATATTTCACTCATCCTCTCTCTCTCTCTCCTCAAATGTATGCCTTTTATTCTCACTATTCTATATAATAGTTTGACATTCAGCTAACTTTCAACATTTATATTAATATATTCTGTATATATATATATATATATACTGTAAAAACCATGTGCTCCCTATTGCCATTACTATACTACTAAATAACAAACTAAACTATCATCTAAATGTATTAATATTTAGTAAGCCCTTGGAAACAAATAAATTTTTGTTTCATATAAATTGTTTCACAATATATATAATATATGCATCTAATTGATGTGTTGTTGTTTTTTTTATTTGACATATTTGACATAAATTTACATGTACTCTATGAATGTATTATACAAATGTAGCTATTTTTAGTTTGGGTTTAATTTAAAATTTAAATGATTAGTTTTTCCTAGTGTCATAAAAATATTAGTTTTTTATATGTTCAAAGTTATGACTGAAATTTTATTAATTTTACATTTATTAATATTAAATAATTACTGTTTGTTTAACTGACAATGTTTGTAGCATTAACAACATATAAATATATAGTTATTGATAGATATATAGATAGCTACAGGTATATAAATTTTAATTGATGAATATTATTAATAAATTAACGTACTGTATATTAATAACAATTAATATATTATTAATAGAATTTATTCAGAATATTAAAGATAATAAATTATATGAATTTGTAATAAAATTTTAATTGTCAAAGTAATTATATTTATTTTATTATTAAATTTTTGTTGTGTTTAAAGTTTCAAATAAAATTGTTTTATTATACAGAAAAAACGATAAATTCATATAAATAATTACTAAATGTCTTATAACTTGAGTCAAACATTTGCTGTCATTGAAAAAAACATATAATATTAGAAAAATACTGTATAAACAAAATATTATATATATATATATATATATATATAGAGAGAGAGAGAGAGAGAGAGAGAAATAAAACAAAACATTTTATCATAAAACGGATTCATTTAATTGAAAATTCAATTTTTTACTAAAAACGATAAATATTTAAATAAATATTTATTTATAAAATTTTTGTTATAAAATACCAATAACTAAAATTAAAAATTAATTTAATTCATTGCTATACGTTTCATAAATATTACTAATGTCACTATCGGTAAAGTTTGGAAATTTGGTCAACGGTTTGACGCCCGCCGGAACCTGAATCAATGGTTTATCATACTTACCGCCGGTCAGATGCACCGGTATATATTCAGGTGCAATATAGCCATCTAATTCGCTGCTCGATATGGGCTTATAAATCGCCCGGAGCTCGTCGTTCATAAACGATACGACAATTTTGGCCACAAAATTCAATAGCCACGGCAAGTCTATGCTCAACAAATATTTCGGACCTTTCGGATAGCGGGACTGTAATGTGTTGACAACAAAACTGTTGAGATCCATGTCTACATTGCTCAATGATTGTTGGCTACAATCGCTGACCATTGCCCAACCGCCTTTGTGAGTATTATTTCGGTCGTAAAGTTCTAACCAATAGACGATATAGTGTTTGGCCATATCATACCATTTGTCTTCATCGCATTTATGATGTCTGTGCATCTGAAGCCATAGCACTTGACGTCCCTCCCGGTCCCGACAGAACTGCAAAAATTCGCCGATTCTATATAACTCTTCGGGAAATGAACTTTCGGTCAGATCGTTGACACCAAACTGTTTGCGCCATTTCATTGTGTCGACCAATGAGTCCAGTGCTTCGTCTTCCGTATTGCTGACCAATAGGAACCGTTCGATCCACCAGTCCTTCAGTCTAACCATTTCGATGTCTCGTTTGTCAAACTCATAGCTGGACTTATTGACTATCGATAAAAACTTTTGACGCATTTCATCAAATACACTGACAGTGTTGTTGGTGTTGTTGTTGTTGTTGTTATCGGTTTTATTTAAATATATTGTTATTGCTTTTGGTTTTAATGATTTTGTCGACTAATTATATTAAGTAAATGTAAAGTAAAATATAATATTATTATTAAATTAAAAATAAAATAATTTAGTAAAAAAATAAAATTTTTAATTAATTATTATTATTTATTAAAAAAATAGCTTACATATTTTGACAAATAAGTTACATATACTATAAATATAAGTAAAACTATTAAACTGATAATAACTATTATACTGCAAATCCATTTGCATTTACTACCCATTATTACATTTTCATTTAATAATTTTGAATTTATAAATTTATAAATTTTTATTTCAAACAAATATTATTTATATGCTGGACAAAATTAGAAAATTTTATGCATGCACATTAAATATATGTTTTTTTTTCATTAACTAATCTAACTTATTAATGCATAGTTTATATTTAATTAAACATATCAATACTTATTTGATATATCAATGATATTAAATATAACTTAATGTGAAAATTAAAATTGTATAATTATTTTTTTAAATTTTAATAATTGCTATCAACAGTATATAAATAAAATTAAAATAATTTAAAAACGCTTAATATATTCTCTATAAATTACAATTAATTATTTATATAATACATTACTTGTTTTTAATTATAAATAGATTTGTTTTTTAAAAAAGTAAATTTTTATAGTCTAAAATATTTCTAATAAATAATTTATTTAATGTTTAAATTAAGCAAAAATTAAAATTAGAAAAAATAGTTAAATGAATAAGTTTTTATATATATAATATAACAATGTTTAGTCAATCAATGTTCAATTGATTTCATGACAACATATATATTTAAATAATTAATTTTTTGAAGATTAACTATAATAACAAAAATTTATTATAATAAATAATTTTATAATTTTATTGTAGTTTTGTTGATAGTATCCAAATAAACATAATATTGTAGAAAGATTTTTGTAATTTTTGCAATTTTTTTGTACTTAACATTTTGTTTGTTAAATATGAATAACTATGTATATTGTATTTAGTGTCAGGGCAAATTCTATGCCTCGTTTAATTTTCCAAAAATTTTGTAATTGGGAATTCCAAGGGAATTTATTATTTTTTTGCTACCACTTATTGAATGCGTTACCATTAAAAAAAATTTTAAATGCTATTATCTGGACAATCGTAATAGTAAATAAAAAAAATGATCAATTATAAATATATTCACTATAAAATTGTATTATTATATATATAACAATTGCCATAGTCATTTTTATATTTACACAGAGAAACATAATATTTGTAAATAGATAGAAAATTGACCATGTTCATTGTTGCATATAATTAATAAATAGTTTTTATTGACTATATCGACACTGTAGTCAACTTTACTAAAACATTTGTCCAAAATTATATTTATGACAAATACAGTATATATACAGTATATTTATACAATAGTTGTATCTAACAATTACAACATATTTATAATTTATATTATGTTCATAATTGATAAGTTTTAATCATTTTAAATCGTTTTTTAAAAAAATTATTAAATAATTTGTATTTATTAGTAAACCTATTAAAAATTTAAAAACAATTAATTTTTTAATTGATATTATAATATATTATTTAAGATACAAATTTTGCATAACAACAAATTTATAATATATTTATTAATAATTATTATTTTTATAAAAAATATATACTAAAAAAGTAAATTAAAGTATAAAATTTTTTTAAAAATCAAATTAATCTAAAAAAACATATTTAAAAACAGCAAAAATCATTTGAAATGTATGTCGCAATATCAGTGAGACTATCAATTGACCGGATGTGACGCCCATACCGATGACCCAGTCCTTGGCCACATTCATACGATAGCCAGCATTGCTGGTATCGGTGCCGTCACCTGTTCGCGAACACCGTTGTCTTATCAGTTCATTGGATGGCTTTTTCAGATCGTAGGCCAGTCCGCACCACTCAAAAAAGTTTATCAACAGTGTTGTCAAATTGAAATTACATTTCCAGCCATACTCGGAGGCCGAGTAGTCCCAGGGAAACGTATGGTGATAGTTATGGTAACCTTAATAATAATAATAATATATGAATTAAAAAACTAACAAAATAATCGATTTCATTATATAATTATACGTTTGAAACTATGTTTCATAAATTATGTTTAACAAATATAATACAGTATATATATATATATATAACTATTAATATTATTTATTATTTATTACATACCCTCTCCAAAAGCAAAATAGATAACTGAGTTATTCTCCCTGGGTCCAATATGGCGATCATAGGGTCGGTTACCCTCCAAATGTGCCAGACTATTGACAAGCCACGTGCAATGTAGTACATACACGTACCGAAAGCATACACAACCCAAAAACGCGTACCAGAGTCGCTCATTCCAAACATAATAGGGCACGAGTGTAGGTATGACACCCCATATCAATATAATGAGTGGTACATAGAATCGGCGTTGAAATCGTACGATAGGGTCGGCCCATACATCACTCATATCAACAGTTATACCTTAATATCAATAATATTAATATTAATAAGTTTAATGTAAAAATAATTATTTGGTATTTTATTTTTTTAACTCTAGTATTATTTAATATTTTATTAATTAATTATAATTTATTTAGATTAATACTGTTTGATCGATTAATTAGTTTACATATACCAAGCGCCGGTGGTTCAGTGGTAGAATGCTCGCCTGCCACGCGGGCGGCCCGGGTTCGATTCCCGGCCGGCGCATTTTTTGTAGTTTTTTTAGAAATTTAAAATAATTTTTTTTATTAAATTATTTTTAAGATTAATCATATATTTTACTAACTAATTTTAATATCAATCTATCTTTTTTACTTATTGAAAAATATACTCATTGACTCATATACTTATTATAGTAGAATTTATTATTATTATTATTTTCGTTTTGTAATAAAGTCAGACATTTCGTTTTTATTTTTGAAAAAAAATCTAAATGTAAAATAATTATTAAAAAAAATTGCGCCGGCCGGGAATCGAACCCGGGCCGCCCGCGTGGCAGGCGAGCATTCTACCACTGAACCACCGGCGCTTTGCTTATGTAAGCAAGTTTTAGCGATCAACCGGTTGTATAATAAATTAATAAATTAAATCATCCGTTTAGAGATAGATATTAAAAGCACATATGGTTTTTAAAATAACATTATTTATCATTTAGTAAATTATTACATAATGTACTGTAATTTTTACTTTTATATACAATAATTATTTCAATCAATTTTTTTCTAATAAACAATTGTTATCACTTTTAAATTAATAATAATATTAAAAATCTACTAATTTGTAAATATCATTACAATGTTCTATAACTTATATGTATTAAAAAATTATTTCATAAATACATAAACATTTAGAGCATTCTAATAGTAATTGTATTATTATATAAATTATAATAATAGAAACAATTCTATAATCAATAGTTTGTTTGTTTAATGTTTAGAGTTTTATGTCAAACATTTTTTTCATACATTTAAAATAGAGTCAAAATATTTAAATATAAATTATATTAAGTTTATTTGGAAAAATATAAATGTATGTTAAGTGAGAAAATTGAAAATACTGATCAATAAACTCAATGAATTTTATATCACTTTATAATAAAATATTAATATCTCTTAGTATTTTTAAATAAAAATATTTTCGTATGTTTATTATTATTAATATATAAATATTACGTATTTTTTTACTTTTCTTTTTAAAATTGTTGTTAAATAAAATAACAAAATAATTGAAAAATAATAATATTGTCCTAAATAGAAGTGAAAATATTTTCAAACAGATAGTATTGTATTTTTATTAATAGCTATAAAAAAGTATTATTTTTTAAAATAACAAATGATATAAAAATAATATAAATGTTTTATTTATAAACTTAAAAAAAATCTATGAATATCTTCTATTAATTTAAACATTCAATAGTTTAATAAATAATATATAATTTTTTTCATACATTTCTTTCATTTGATTGATATAATATCGTATTGTTTGCCCGCAAAAAAAATTAATGCTAAATATTTCCATAAAATTATATATAAACAAACATTTTTTTTAATAGTAAAACAGGAATTTTTTTATGCGAAAAATTTACCCAAAAATAACTGTTCCCAACATTTCAACATAATTATCAATTACACAAAAGAGGGTCTAATAGGGTCAATAGAGGTGATACCGTTTTTTATTAACTCAAGTTTTACTATCTTATACTGTATACAATCTTATATATATATAGGTTCTCCATTTGTATTAAATTATTTTACAATTAAGTGCATTAAATTAAATTAACAATATTTTTTCCTAAAAAAACCGATTAAAAAATAGATAGCGATATAAACATTAATAAATTATTACATATAATTTATTATATAATGCGCGCACAAACACACACACACATACATACACTCACGCATATTATCAGTTAAATCTAAATCTTTTTATATGCAATTAAAATATATACTAAATTTATATATAATATTATATGTATGCTATAAATTAAATATTTCTATTGTATGCTCTATGCATATACAGTATGTATTATAATATATAGATTAAAAATCCTAAAAAAAGCTGACCTTTATGTTTGACATCCTTGTGCTTCTTCAACAATAGCCATCCCATGTGCGAGAAAAAGAAGCCCCGATTGGCATTATGGGGGTCGGCATTGGTCTCACTGTACTTATGGTGGACCCTATGATCGCGACTCCATTCATAGATATCGTTTTGTAGGGCCATTGTATTAGCAAATGCTAATAATAGTCTATAAAATATAAATAAAACTATTATTTGTTTAATGTAAATATATACAATAATTTTTGTCCTTAATTTCTAGTATGTTATCACATTTGTTATTATTTGAAATATAATATTTAAAAAAAAATAATAATTTTTAAGTAATTTCATACAATTTTGTTATGTTTATTTTAATGTTTAATCATGAATATTTTTAAAATATATTAGTTGTTTAAGATTTTTAAAATTATTTAATAAATTATTGTCAAAATTTTATAAATAGAAAATTATATACAGATTAAATTATTTATTTAACTAATTAATCAGATTTTTGTTATTAAATATAGATTAGATCAGTATATTCTCTCTTTATATTAAAAAATTGCTAAATAATTTAAAATTTAAGAACTAATTTACTAAAACATAAATTATAAATTTCATATAAATTACAAACTGATTACAATTATTTTACAATTAAAGATTATACTATAGTTATCTTATTATTTAGCAATTTTTTTAGTAATAATAATACATAAAAAGTTATCACATTAATATATTATCGGTACAACTATCAGACAATTTATCATTTTTAAATATATATTAAAATAGCAAATTTAATCATTTTATAATATAATAATAATATAATAATATTTTTTTTTGAATTTTTGATTTAAAAATAAGCACAGTTTAGTTAATGACTGAATTAGGCTAACCTGAGCGGCCATTTGGCTTTATAGCTACGATGTGACCACAACCGATGAGCGCCGGCAGTAATGCCCAGAGATGACGAAAATAGGCCAAACAGAAAGGTGGCCACTGCTGTCTGCCATTTCAGTTCATTGATGAAAATAAATAGAAACCATCCATAGAAGGCCAGTACATGCAAAATGGACAGTAGGATAACGTTTCGCCAGACAATCTCACTGGTCTTATATGAATAGTTCTCGCCATTAGTGTACTGATGGCCATCATTACTGTCATTAGTGATGGTGGTGTTGCTATCACTGCTGGTATTGTTAACACTGTTACTACTCGTGGCTACTGTTCCCCTGTGAACAGACTTCAGCTCGTTATCGTTGGCCGGATGTTCATATGAGCCAAACTTTGGTGCCATTTATACTTTTATTGTCTGTTGTGGTGTCTGTCCGCACCCGTGGCTCTCAATAGGTATGGATTTGTCGACGACAACACAGATAACAAACACACACTAATACACAGAAACAATAATTAAATGTTATATATATATATCTATCAAATATATATCTATATTAGGAATAAAAACAATTTTAGATATATTTAAAGATATTAAAATAGTTAACAATACATTTAATTGTCATAAGTTGTGAAATAATAGATTAAATGTGTAATTGAAAGCTAATGTTTATAACTGGCAATCAACTAGTCATTCACTGGAGATATTTTTGGGTCAGTTATCAAAAAATAACATCACTAATAGTTTTTTAAGTTTATAATTTGCTTATAAAATTTGTCAATTAGAGGAAAATACCAAAAGAAAAACTTTTAAATATTAATACTAATGAATATATCAAAAATGATTACTATTCTTATGTTTTAAGCACTGAAATTACAGTATATTTTTGGTATATTTTTTTATCATTAAAATCTCCAATAATATAGTCAAACATTTACTACTTAAAAGAAATTTATTATTTTTTCTGTCTTTTATATAACAATAAAATAATAAATTATTTTACAGTATTTTAAATATTGATAGTAATCACATAAACAATAATTTTTTGACACTTGAAGCTAAATTATTCAACACACAAGACATCATCATTAATATATAAAATTTAAAAAAAAAAATTATGTTGGTTTTTATGATTATAATCAAATATTAATGTTTTTCATTAACAGATATTATATTTGGAAATAACCAAACTTGAAAGATATTTATCATTAAGACAATAATAAATTACAACAATATATTAGCAATTGTTATTTACAGTAGTAATGCACTGATTATATAAAGTCTATGTAATGAACAAAAAATAACTTCATTGTTAATATTAATTATAATTGTTATTAAAAATTAGTATACAGTTTACAATATATACATATATTATTAAATTCTATGTATATATATATATAAATAGAAACTACAATACATAATACATTACATAAATTATAAATATGTATTGATTGTTTAGCATTATAATTGATAAATCACTTTTTTTTAAATAGCACTTACCGATTACATAGATATTATGGTTGGGGTATTGTTTGAGAAAACACTATTATTATTATTACTACTACTACCACCACAGGTATCTAACCATAATACAATAACATATGTATATAAGTGCTACTTTAAAATAGTTTCATAGTTATATACATAGATTACATATTAAAATGTTAATTTTTTTAGGATATCTTAATTTAAAATTATAATACCAACCTATCTATATTTGGGATGTTGCACTAGTGTCTATAGATAAATAGGCACCGGTAGATGAGATAAGAGAGAGAGAAAGATACAGACTATCAATAGTGTGACACATTTATTAATACTGATGGTATGTATTAAAAATAGATGCCTTTTTATAAATATTTTGAAGTTTTTTGTTGCGGCAATTTTGTTTGCTGTTTATTTGTTTGATAGTCACGTATTTACATATAAACAAACACACACACATACATATACATAAAGTGTATGTTTTTTAATAGGAAAAATAATAGTTTAATAAATCTTTTTGTGTCAAATTATATAAAGTTTTGATGTCTATTATGTTAATAATTATGTATATTTCTATGGGTTTCAATCCTTTAATTTTTTTAATATTACTGTGTATTATTACTGAGATTACTATGTATATAAAAATTTAGTAATTAATTATTCAAATAAATTTCTCATAAAATAATTTTCAATAATATATAGAAATTTAAATAAATTAAATAATAAATACATTTAATTATTAGAGTTGCGAAAACAATAAATGCATACATTACAAATATTTATATTAAAAACTTTTAGTTAAGCATAAATAAAAATGTAATTATTATAAAATAACAAGTATTGTAACTTATAAAAATAAAATAAAATAATTATATAAAAAACATTAATTATAAATAAATTGACATATGTTTATTGGGTTTATCATGTAATAATAATAATTATATTATATAATAAAATAACAGATATTTGGATTTAATAAATAATAACTAAAAATATATATATTCCCATATATTTATTTATTTTAATTTATTTGTATTTTAAATTACACTTTAACTGTAAATAAAGCTATTTTGTTTAGGAAACTTCAAAAAATTGACTTTTTTAATATTTTAAATACAAATGTTTATTTAATATATTTAATTATATTAAAAAAATCATAACCTATTTAATTTGGAAAATTTTTAATAAACTAATAACTTGTATCACATATTATCGTTTGTTGACAATGTTTGTAAAAATTTAACTTTAGCCTAAAGTGAGTCTACCATTTAGCTACTAATTATTATTTTTATATATATAAATCTTACTATAAATAGTATTAAATTAAGTTAGAAAAATAAATTGTCGTACATAAAATTTGTGTCAATAAAAATGTTAGTTACAAATAGTAAATAACATATAATTACCTTTACGGTGATGTTGTTTTTTCATATATTTATATATGATATTATTTATATTAAACTAAAATACACAACAATTAATTATCTTATATAATAGAAAATCGATAGTAAAAGTATAGTCAATATGGGATGTCATCATTATTTTTGTTCACAAAAACAGAAAGAAAAACATTTAGTTTATAACTTAATAACATAACAAAAACTTATATTTTTGTTTTATTAATAAAATTTTTAAAAAAATTGTTTCATTAAAAGCATAATATGTATTATATTATATATATATAGTATAAATATTTTAATTATCCACAGACGGGTTTAACAACACATTGTATAAAATGGCCCAAAAAAAAGTTTTAATAAAATTTATATAAATATTCGTTTGAATCTTTTTTTCTCTCTTTCTCTCTCTGTGTGGTTTTGTTTATAAGTCATGTATAATATGTATTCAAAATCATCTTTTAGCACCAAAATTGTTTAGCATCGGTAGGTGTGCTATACCTGTTTCCCAGCCAATGCTCCAATAGAGAAAAAACCGTAATGTCTATTAATAGATTTGTGGCAATCCATGCAATTAAATTGTACAGTAAATAAAAATATTTTTATTTAAGCATAGAGAGAGAGAGAGAGAGAGAGAGAGAGAGAGAGAGAGAGAGAGAGAGAGAGAGAGAGAGAGAGAGAGAGAGAGTACAATGATGTACTGTTATTAATGGTAATACCTGTTTATAAGGTATTTCTCTCACTCTGTTATTAAGTGAAGACACTGTGACCTCAATTGATAGGAAAAAAGATTTTATAAAAGTTAATAAAATATATAAATGTTTTATTTATAAATAAATTTGTTCTTATTGTGTGTGTGTGTGTGTGTGTGTGTGTGTGTGTGTGTGTGTGTGTGTGTGTGTGTGTGTGTGTGTGTGTGTGTGTATGTGTATGTGTGTGTGTGTGTGTGTGTGTGTGTGTGTGTGTGTGTGTGTGTGTGTGTGTGTGTGTGTGTGTGTGGTGTTTGTGTAACCATTAAAATTAAAATTATAGTTTACTAATATAAAGCTTATAATGTGTATTATTATTGCTAATTTTTACTGTACAACTCAAAGCTATATATTTTTGTTTGGTTTGATTAGCTTTAACTTTTTATAAATGTTACAATAGTATAAACTATAAAGTATAAATAAATAAATTTGTTTGTTTATTATGATTATTATTACTGTTATATATTATAGATTAATTAAATTGTAAAAATAAGCCAAATAAAATGTATGTGAATGTAATCTATCAATAGCATTATTAAAATTCATTATCTATTAACATGATAAATGTTATATTACTATTGGAATAAATTAATATATATTTTATTGAAATTTTTATTTTATTATTATCATTTGATAACTTATTGAACTGTAAAATAATAAAAATGTTTTTTCTTAAATGTTTTATTTGAAAACAAATTAAATATATCAATATAAAAATATTTATGCGAATAATATGATATTAGAGATTGTATAATATTTTTTTTAAAACATAAAAATAAATTAAATCGTGTAAATTTCCTATATTTGGTACTAATGTTTTTAATTTAGTTAAAAACAATAAGACATTTGTGTCCTAAATAATACAGTATTTTCTCAATGAGAGAAAGAGAGAGAGAGAGAGAGAGAGAGAGAGAGAGAGAGAGAGAGAAAGAGAGAGAGAGAGAGCTATAAATAAATTTAATTTAAAATTAAAAACAATCACTCTTTTTGTTGTTTATATTTTTTTAAATTTCATCTTATAATTGACTATATAAAGCCTTTTAATATTTTAATACTTTTACTATAAAAAGTTAATACAGTTCATTAAATCATTTGAAATATTAAATTATAATAAATTATAATTTTATTGAATTTTTTTTTATTAAAACCTGAGTATAGTTTATAATCAAAATTTTACTGTAATATATGATTTTTCATTGAGTTATGGGCTACTAAATAATTGCACAGATTAGTGATAAAGATTTTTGTTAAGTGAAAATTTATTAGAAACAAAAAAAAATACTAAATTTGCTAATAATTTTTAAATATATTTTTATTTAAAAAAAACTATACTTTAAGTAATCATTTTATTGTTAGTAAACCTTTGAACTAATTAAATGAATTAAAATATTTAAAAGCAATAAGGAAATTGTAGTCATTATTATATTTATTATTATCAATTAATCCAATATTTAGTTTTAAATATTTTATTATATATACAGTAATTTAAAATTATACTCTATTTTATGGAAAATAATATTAGTTAACAACTTTATTTTTGTTTGATTAATATAATAATGTATTTATATATTGATACAGTATAATTAACAACAACAAAAAACAATATTAAAATAATTAAGATATAAATTATTTAGATAATATTGATATACAAAATTATTTTTACATAAATTAAAGTTGAAATTATGCTATAATTAAATTTGTTAGTTTTGTTGATATTTATAAATTATTTTAATTTATTTATCTTAAATTAATAATTAATTTTAAGAATCAAAATAATCATTTATTATATTCAACAACAAAAATACTTAATATTTTAAATAACTATTATTTTTTCAGACATTTATTAGTATTTATTTTTATTAATATAAGACTTATATATATTTTATTTTTTGGTATTTTAGATTATTTTTTACAATTAAAAAAATAATATTTCGTTTATAATTTGTCAAAACATTGTTATTAAAAATTATTATTTTTTATATTATTTTTTATTATATATTTATATAGAATAGTTTAAAGTTCTAAATTTAAATTATTAAATTTATAAAATAAACTTTCTTATGATTAAATTATTTTTGACAAATTACAAAATTATAATTGAAATGAATTTGTATAATACAGTACTAAACAATGAAAATAATAATAATAAATATATTTTAGAAACACATGTAATGTTTGTTGTATTTGAATGAATTTTTTGGGAAAATAATAAAATAATAATTTTTTAATAATTTGGTTTTTACATACAAATACAATATATTGTAAGATTAAATGGCTATTGTATGATAATACAATGTACATAATTATTGTAGATAATCTATGTAAAAAACAATATTATTTTCACGAAACTGTTTAATAAATATATATTTATTTATTGAAAAATTTAAGATACAAAAATAAATTTAATTAATTTTTTTGTAATTAGTTTGTATTATTATTATCATCATCATTACTAAATATAATCACTAAATATTAGAAATAATTATTAAAATAAATAATTATAATGTAAGAGATTTATATGTTTGCAAACAAATAAATATTATTAATTTGAAATTATTATTGTTATTATTTAATTTTAGTGTCTATACATTTATCACACATTTCTAAATTAATTATTATTATTTTTTATAATTTTGTATTGTTTGACACCAAAGTTAAAGACAAAACCTTCAAATAAATTTAATATTTAAAACAATAAAATAATTATTATACGATTTATAATAAACTGTAATTAACAATAATATGGGTAATCATCTAATTAATGATCTCATGTCAAATGTAACGCTCAGTTAGTCGTTTAGTACGGCGATACCTAACCTACCAGTTCTGATACAATGTGTAGTACTATACACGTGTTGACGACTATTTTATTTATTAAAACTGGTCCACTATTTACACTATCCATCGTTACCACAAATCTGTTATTTAGCTTATACAGTATTTGGGTATTTTATTTCAATTATTTATATACAAGTTGTATAATATAAAAAAAATTTCAGATTATTTAGATATTATTTTGATAAATTTTAGCCAATTAAATAAATATAATGATTATTAAGTGTTGTTAAATAAAATTAACTTAATGATTATTATTTTTTAAAATTAATATTATATTTAGTAAATATACTGTTTTTAGACCAATAATTAAAATAACAACAATTTAGCAATTAATTTTTCATTGAGGCACATTAAAATATTTTAGTTATTTAGGATGACAATTATGGTTTTTTTTAATTAGCTTTTAAAATAATTATTATAATTGATAGTAAAATATAATACTATTTAAATCAATCAGGCATAGCAAGAATTTAAACAAACAAACAAAAATAATAATTAATTAAAAACACCTAAATTTTACTTTATATAAGTTTGGTGTTTGCATATAATTAATAGCAATAATAATTTTAAACATAAATAATAATTTTTATAAAAAATATTGTACTGTATCCTACATTATCAAATATTTTTAAAAAGTTTAATTAAACAACTTAAAACTAAATAATAGTAATAGTAATAATATAGTCAATAACTTACAATATATTTAAACCAATGACTTGTAGTGACAAAGAAAAAGTATAAATAAATAACTTAACAATTACTTAAATAATATGAAACTACATGTAACTAAATTGTCTAACAAACAGAAAAAAACACAACCAATTATTAATTAATTAGTTTTTATTTATTTTAAAAACTAAATAAATAACTAAAATTTAGGTCCAAAATGTAAGTCCCGGCGCTTGCTATTTCGATTGCACCGATTGATGTTACAGTCATACAATAGCTAACCATGGTCCTATTGAACATAAAAAAAATCTTAGTGTCTATCCTGGTCTATGTCGACTACAGTTTGGCTCTAGTTGTGCACCAGAAGCCTAATCGTACTGACCTACGCCCTGAAGCCCTAATCCTAATCGAGATTTGTGTCATTTTCTATTTATCATTAAATACATCGATTTGTTTGGGAAACGGTGTTTTTGTGTGTTGCGCAAAAAAAACATACTCACCTATTGCTATATCACATATACTACTACATCACTGATGTTACTGAATTTACTGGATGTGCTTTCGACACTGGAAGGTCCTACACTAAATCTCTATGCATTTTATCATCGTTAACTGTATCATACATGTGCTCATCTACTCCTACTATGCCCTGACCTTGTTACTTGATCATCACTTGCAGGCTGCAGCTAATAATACTACGATCTGTACGGTATATACTGTTCCCCTGGTCATCGATGGTATACCTAAGTGTACTTTCAGCTATTGTTGGACGTGCAAAGTCACATATTTTTGTCATTGTTTGAACATTTTTTTTTTAATTTCAAAGCTTAAATGAAAAACAAGTATAACATTAATTTTGATAATTAATAAACTTATATATTTATTAAACTCAAATATATATATATATATATATAATAAATGTAAAATTAATACTAAGAATAATAAGATAGTCAATTGTAATAAGAGACCAGTTATAGCAAATAATAACAATAATAATATTAATAATTATCATTTCTATAAATATTTTGTAAATAATAAAAAATAATAGTAATATCATTATTGCAATCAATAGTGGGTACGTAAATTGACAAATTGATGATTAAAAATATGCTTAATTTTTTCATACTAATTATATATTTAATGTTTGAGATGTTTAATACAATGTAAAACTTATTTGCAATACTATTATGAACAATAATTTTTGTTTGATTTGGGTTTTTACAATAATTTGTTTGTTTTTTATAGTAAAATTGCTAAAATATTTGAAATATAGTATTGTATTATTTTTATTATATTTCACAATGAAATCAAATTGTGATTCAAGATATTGCACTACAGATATACTATAGTATAGTATATATATCTGTATTTTATAATGCATTAATAAGATTATCATTTAGTTAAAAAATATATATAATTTTTACAATAATAAAAAATTACTCTACACTATGTATATTAAACTACAGCCAAGTTTTAAAAAATTATTTTAATAATAATAATATTTATTCATTGTATTAAAACAATATTGTTTATACAGTTTATATAAATATTATAAAATTATAAAAAACATTATTTTTGAATGATGATAGCGTTTTATTTAAAATTAATTAATTAATAAAATTATAAAAAAATAATATTTTTTTAAAAATTTAAATCAGTTACAGACTACAGATGTTTTTTAGTTTTATTACAATTATTATTAGTAACAATACTATTATGTTTACTATTAATATGTGTTTTATGATTATTACGATTGCATTTATTGTAAGACTGGCGATAAAAGTTGAGGAATAGCATCAAAAATAGTGGATTCTGTATCCAACCGATCCAATAGAGACCGCGCGGCCAACCAGTGCTCAGGTAGGCGCTAACCAAACCGTAGCTAACAAATAGTACAAATTGTGTGATCTGTATGAGAGTTATGTACCGTTTCCACCAGAGATAGGGCTGAACTGATGGGCCGAATGCGCTGAGAGCATAGTATGAGTACATAATAGTGTGGACAAGTGTATTGAGTATAGCAAATACGGCTAACGGCTGACAAGTGGGACCAAGTTTGATGGCCGCCCAGCCGAGCACAGGTACCATAAAATGATGGTACAGATGAAGGAATGTCAGGTGGGAGTGTTTTTTGCGAAGCACAAAGAAAACGGTGTCCACTAAGTCAACAAATTTGGTGTACGCGTAGAGTACTGTTTCGTCGATTTGCTGCAAAGTGCCGGCCGACTTGTCCGCCGCAGACGGAAACTCAAACTCAAATAGACGGCGACCGTAGCCGAGCCATCGGATGGACAGTAGAAAAAAGTAGGCGTTACTGAGCACCATGAATACGTTGTAGGCAAACATAACTGTGCGCAACTCGAACGGCTTACGGTTGGCCATCAGATGCGGACCGATTCGGGTGACAAATAAGAGCCACGAAAACATTACGACGGCCAACCATTGCGGTCCATCTCTGGCCAGCCAGTAGTCACGGGTACGCGGGTCGCACTCCTGGAGCCAGTAGTCGTTCAGATAGTAGTTAATTGTTTTGATGATATCGTTAGAAGTAAAGTCATTTATATCTGTAACACTAATGTTTGTCATAACTATTAATATTTATTATTATTATTATTATAACACTTTTACAATTGATTTATTAAAAATATTTTATAATAATGTATATTGTTTTTTAATGTACACCAGGTATTTGAATACTTATTTTAATGATTTATTATTAATATTATTGTTATTATTAAGTAGTATTAATATCACAATAGAAATAAGTTTACATTTAATTTAAACTGACAAACATTATTATTAACAATTTATATTATTATTATCATCATTATTAAATTAAAATTAATAAAAACAATACTTTACAAAAAAATTATTATATAATTAAATTTATTTGTTTTTATTTATATTTTCTACATAATCAAAATTATATAATATTTTTTGAGTTATTTGAAATGATATAATAACAAACAAAAAAATATTAAACTTTCATAAATTACAGTATAGTTATACTGTATATATATATAAAAGTGTAAATATAAATTAACAAGGTTAAAAGTTATCAAAAAGTTATTATAAACGATTAGTAAAATTTTTTATCGCATAAAAGTTTTATTAGTATATATGATTAATAGACAATAATTTTATTAATAGGACGTCCCTAAATACATACATATATATATTCAATACCGATCAACAAATTCACAATACAATTAAATTTATATACAGTAAGCACTTAAAGTTATTTACAGATAATATAGTATATTATAAATGTTAATCAAGTATACAAACTATTAAAGACTGATTGTTTGTTTGCTGTGTATGTGTTTGTGAGTGTATAACTAAAAAGTCATTAAATTTTCATTTATCGCTAAACTGTCGATGACATACTTGTCCACTCAGTTTCATCTAGTTTTTTGTATTATATATATATATGTACAGTATGTCTATGTATATACAGTATATATGTATCACCAAATATTTAACAGTATATCTAACTGTGTGCCTATTTTCTCGGGAGGGGATGGGAGGTCTCGGGGGTGCGCGCTTAATAACTATGTTAACTAGTGTAAATAAACTGAAATATATAAATTGTGTGTACGTGTGTGTGTGTGTGTGTGTGTGTGTGTGTGTGTGTGTGTGTGTGTGTGTGTGTGTGTGTGTGTGTGTGTGTGTGTGTGTGTGTGTGTGTGTGTGTGTGTGTGTGTGTGTGTGTGTGTGTGTGTGTGTGTGTGTGTGTGTGTGTGTGTGTGTGTGTGTGTGTGTGTGTGTGTGTGTGTGTGTGTGTGTGTGTGTGTGTGTGTGTGTGTGTGTGTGTGTGTGTGTGTGTGTGTGTGTGTGTGTGTGTGTGTGTGTGTGTGTGTGTGTGTGTGTGTGTGTGTGTGTGTGTGTGTGTGTGTGTGTGTGTGTGTGTGTGTGTGTGTGTGTGTGTGTGTGTGTGTGTGTGTGTATGTATGTTTGCAGTTTGTTTAGGACCTATGGGTATGGGAACAGGTATTTTTTAAAAAGTCCACAAAAAAATTTTAGGTCAACAAACATACAGTATATATATGTTGTACTTACTGTTTACCTGCGATTTCATATATAAACTAATGTTTTGCTTGAATATAGTTAAATGTGTTTATACAACAAATGAAATAAAAAATAACATTATTATTACTATTACTATTAAATTACATTACTTTGAGATATACTAATAGTGACAGCAAAAAAAATGTTTTAAAGTTTTTTCCTATTAAAAACCTGTGTGTAGTAGTAGTAGTTGTATAGTATGTATAGTAATGTGCGTGTGATTTATATAATATCATATTATTTTTGTTAAATTCACATTAATTTATTTGATTTTATTTATTGATAACACACTATCAAAAGTTTAAACTTATATTATGAAGTTTAAGGACACGATTTGTAAACTGATTAATAAAACTATAAGTGTTTTAAACGGATTTATTAGTGAAAAATATGCATATATTATACTGTATAATCATTACTGTGTATAAACTATATCTCACTGTATTTACTGATATATCCAAAAAACATATAATAAATATTTATTTAGTTTATTTAGTTTGAGATTTACTGAGGAAATAAATTAATTAAAATTTTCAGCAAAAACTATTAACATTATAATAACTGAAACTTTTATTTGATTTTTTTTAATTGTTAGTTTTTTTTGATAAATTATAAGTAAATTTTTTAGTAAATATAGATAATATTTTAACCGCATTTTTTACACATATTTACATATAAAATATGTAAATTATAAAATCTATTTATTAATTTACTGTATTTTATGATATATTTATCTGTTTATCTAATAATGCAATAATTATTTTTTTTATAAAAAAAAGTTATGAATCATATATTACATGCGATAAATATCATAAAATAGTAAATTTATTATTAAATAAAATATTAATACGTGATTTTAGATCTATTTAAACTTATGAAATATTTTGATTGATTTAAAAATATAATTAAAATTTTTCTAAATTATTATAACTTAAATAATATAATAAAACAATTAGCAATATTTAATGTAATATATAAAATAAATGTTTATTAAAATTAAATAAAAATTATTATTTTATACAATATACGACAAATAGTTAATTAAATAATTAACTAATAAAAGAAATGATAAATATTATAAATAAATGTTGTTTAAAGTAAAATAATTGATTAATTAATTTAATTTACTGTTGGATTCGTGTTTGTAATTTAAATTCAAATATGATTTTTTATAAAAATCCCAAAACAAATATAAAAATAAAGGACTTTGTAGTTGTGCTAAAAAAATTAAAAATAATAATAATTAAACATAAATTATATAATATTATATTATACATATAGTATTAAACATAAACTAATATATAAAGCATTATTATTATAATATTATGATTAAACAGTAATATTTTTTATTGTCAATAAAAATTAGTTAACATACCTGTCCAATAGAGACCAATTGGATAACCATTGCTGAGAAATATATTGAAAATGCCGTAAATAATTAAAATAGCAAATTGTAAGATCTGTGCGATAGTGATGTAGTGTTTCCACCAAAGATATCGTTGCATTTGTGGCCCGAAAGCCGACAGCGCGTAATAGGCGTACATAAATGTGTGGACAAACGTATTGAGTGCGGCAAACACACCGATCGGCACAACTGTTGGCGCAATTTTCATAACTACCTGTTTTTATATATATGTAAAAAACAAATTAATCAATACATTATAATGTCATATAAAAAGTTACTTATAGTTTTACCCATGCTAGAACTGGTACTGTAAAATGATGATACAGGTGCAAAAACGATAGGTGCCGGTCCTTTTTGCGCAATACAAAAAACACTGTGTCCATCAAATCAATAAATTTGGTATAACTGTAGAGTACGTGCTCGTCGATGAGCGCCAGTGTCGAGGGCGAGTTGTCGTTACGCTCAGGGAATTCAAACTCCCAGAGTCGTCGACCAAAGTTAAGCCAATGTAGGGCCCTATAAAAGAAGTAGGCATTGACTGCTACCATAAATGTATTGTAGGCCAACATAACTGTCCTCAGGTTCATCGGCTTACGGTTGCGCATCCAATCGGGTCCCCAACGAATGACAAACAATAACCAGAATATCATTACCAATAGACACCGTTCGGGTCCATTGCGGGTCAAAAAATGGTGTCGAGTTCTTGGGTCGCACTCGCGAATCCAGTAGTCATACAGAAAATATTTTACTGAATTTATTGATAAATCATTGTTTAGATCTACAGAAACTACAGCACCGGTAACACCGATATCACTCTCGATGACCGATGTATTCATCATTTTATTTTTTGTTGTTGTTATTGATAGAAATGGTATGCAATGAGATGTTGATGATGGGAATGGGATGTCTAATACTGAATGACAGTAGAAAAACTAATTTGACAAATAAATGATTGTTTCCTTTGTTATGAAATAATGTAATAAAAACCCACAAAAAATGTTTATTTTTAAAAATAAATAAATATGATTTGATGTTAAACTAAGTGAAAGTAATTTTTTTTGTTTAACTATTTTTATTTTTGCTCAAAATTATTAACTTATCGTTCAAATCAATGATTGCATAGTTATTTTTTTTTGTTTTTTAATGATGTATTTCATGTATAGATTAATAAAGTTATATAACATGTATATATATATATATATATTACCTTTAATGTTTAGATATATTTATACCGTATGAAATGTAATTTTTTTTAATATGAACTTATTGTTAATAAACCGCTTATAAGTTATTTGTCATAATTATTTAGAAAAAAATGTTCAAGGTTATTAACTGAATTTTTTTTAATCTTAAATAACCTACTGTTAGGTTGATGAGCCAAATAATTTATTAACATAACCAAGATAGTATTGTACAATACATTTTATTAAATTAATTTTTTTCAAGAAAAAAATATTTATTAATTTTTTTAGTCACTTGTACTTTAATAAAATTTAGTAGTTATTAATAATTATGTGATTATTTCTAAAGCACAAATCTACTATATTTTTATATTAATTTTAGCTTATTCAAATAAATTGTTGTTTTTTAAAAACCATGGTGCCAATTTAAATGTGTAATCATAGTAAATGTTAAAAATAATAAAAAATTTTAATATGGGTATCAAACTTAATAATGTATAGTAAATACAGTAATTTCAGATTAATCTAATCTTATAATAAGACTCGGAATAAAAATGTAATTTCTATAATATTTTTAGCATTTATTTTAAGATTTATCTATAAAAATGTTTTTCAAGTGAAATTCAAAAAAATAAATATTATGACAATAAATTAAGTAGTAATTTTTAAAATACTAGATACCATTATATTAGGCATTTTTGCTTAAAAATACAAGTTTAAACATTTTTTATAATTTTAAATAAATTTTAATGGCTTAGACATTAGTAGTATTATGTAAATTTATATTCTGGTATATTGTTATTATTATGTTGTTTGCTAATCTATAAATTAATGTTAAGCACAGGGAGGTAGGTAATGTAATCCGACATCAATTGGGACATAATTTGGTATTTATCGGGTGCTTTAGTGAACTGGTATTTGAATTGAATTGGATCAAAATTTCAACATAATAAATACTCTACTTTTTTATTTTTTGTATATCAATAAATTTTTTTTTGGTTTAAAAAACTTAATATTTTTATTTATAACTTATATACTGTATGTTATAGGACAATAATGATAAATTATTAAAAAAATATAAGCTATATTGTTATTATGATTGTAACAGTGATTGTCAAATAGTTTGTTTTATTTATTTAGTTGTCATACAATTATTGAATATAATACGGGAAACATATCTGATTTATATTTTATATCAGTTCACAAAAAAATAATTATTATAAAATAATTGTATTGTACACTTAAAGTGTTTATAATTTTTATTATTGACTTTCTATGTATTTTCAAAAGTTATATACTATTGAATTGAAAAATATAAGATATAATTCTTATAAAAAAATATCAAATACTGTGAATATAACTATGTTTTTCATTCATAACATATGTATTTGTTGGACGCAAATAAAATTATAATCTCATTATTATTAGTATTATTATTATTAAGTGAAACGATGCTATATATATCTAGCTATGTAACTATATGTAGCTACAACTGTATGTATCACTAATAAATTATTTTATTAGCATTTATTGTATATATTGTATTCATATTTAAATAAAATATTGTTATAATAATTTTGCAATATTGTGGTTATTATTTACATTTTCTGTAATATATTTCGTACTATATTTTTGTATTATTTTATTATGTAAAAATTAAACAATTAAATTAAAACAATATTTACAAATTATCACACATTTAATTTTTTTTATTATATATTATTATTATATTTGACAAAAAAAATTTAATAAATCAACTTATTAGATAAACAAAAATAATGTGGTAAAAAATTATAAAAATATTATTATTTTTATTTTAAAAAATATAATAACATTAGATTTTATAACAAAAACAATAATACGAATAACTATACAATATTTACTATATTTCGTAAAAAATATTTTAAAAAAATTATTTATAACATTCTCTCACAAATGTTTAGTAAAAAAATATTTTAATAGTTGTTTTAGTATTAAATTTTTAAATATGATTCATTTCTAAATTAAAAACTATAATTTAATATAATTAATTTAAATATTGGTTAAATTTAAATCTAAATTAATTAATATAATTAAGTGTATAATTAAGTAAATATTTGTTTTATCTAAATATAATTAGTTATGTCTACTGTTAGTAATTATTATGAAAATTATGCATTTTACGATGAAAATAAATCTATTGAGCACCGGGTGATTAGTAAGCCGCCAGAAAATGCCGTCAAAATAGTGGACGTTCAATTGGCTTATGGCAAACACCAGGTGCTTACCGGTATTAACATGACTGTGCCGGCTAGAAAAATATATGGACTTCTTGGACCCAGTGGTTGTGGTATGTTATTGAGTTATTATTTTTTTGCTAATAAAAACTATTTTATAATTATTAGCTAAAATTGTTTTTTAATAAATAAAAATCACAATTATTTTGTATACTGTTAGACTGACCACCCATACAGGTGACGCCTGTATTATACAGGAATCAAGGGTCTGATACAGGTGACAGGAAAGGGGTTAACCTGTATAATAAAATATAGAGTTTTAAATATGTAAAACTAATTGATTAATAAAAGTATAAAATAACTATAAATTAAGTTTTGTTAGTAAAAAATTACTTATATTTTTAATTTCAGTTTAAATAATCTAAATATTATTTTTTAAATATTATAAAAAATTTATAAATATTTATAAAATTGTTCATATCTAATATAAAAGATAAATTTCAACTTTTTATATAAATATAGTATCTAAATTAAATTTTTTAAAATTTATATTATAAAAATATACGAATATATAGAGTTATTTAAGTACAGGTTAACATACAGGAATATAATATTTAATATACAGGAAAATACAGGTGAAAATAATATATTTTATACTATTATACAGGTTTACTAATAAATTGGGTGGTCAGTCTATATACTGTATTTGTTGTTATTAGAAATTATTTTTTATATTCAAGTAATATAAATATTTAATAGTATATTATTTAATTATTGATTATAAAATAGAGTACATTAAATATTTTAAAAACTAATTGATTAAACATATTATATCTAAACAACTAAAAAATTTAATCACAACAAAAATTACCAAGGTAAAACATCATTATTGCGCTGTGTGGTCGGCATACGAGCACCCGATAGTGGACGCATAACGGTGTTCGGTAAAGTTCCCGGTCGACCAGACAGTGGTATACCGGGACCAGGACTCGGTTATATGCCACAAGAGATCGCATTGTTTACTGATTTTTCAATTTACGAAACATTTCAATATTTTGGACGATTATATGAAATTGATTTATCAAAAGTTAACGAAAGGACTGACCAATTGATATCATTGTTGAATTTGCCGAATAAACACACGTTTATTAAAAGATTAAGGTTTGTCTAAAATTAGATTTAATATCAATAACAATAATAATAATGATATAATAAGTTATTTATAATTTTATATAAATATATTTCTATATTGTTATGGCCAGTGGCGGACAAAAACGGCGGGTGTCGCTAGCCATGGCACTCATTCATTCACCACCGTTGCTCATATTGGATGAGCCTACAGTAGGTCAGTATGTTTGAAACTTTTAAATATATATTTTTTAACTATAGCTATTGTTTTCTATGATAATAATAATAATAAACTAATATATTTAGGTGTGGATCCAGTACTCCGTCAAAGTATATGGTCACACATGGAGATGCTGTGCCGTGAGTTAGGCCTCACAATAATCATAACCACCCAATACATTGAAGAGGCGCGCAGTGCTGACATTGTGTCGTTCATGAGAAACGGTAAACTACTGATGGAAAGAAATCCCATACAACTGTTGAATGCTATGAATCTGCCGTCACTGGAGTCGGTATTTCTCAAACTATGCCAAATTGAGTCCCACGACAATGACAACAATAATGGTTCAATTGGTACTACTACTACTACTACTGGCGACAATCTGGACTCAGTGGTCAGTACCGGTGCCGACAATAGTATAGCCGTTTACGATAGCAATGCACTTGAACTAAAGGTGCGCACAGATAGCAATCTTTCGCCAAACATTGATAGCATCAATCATAGAATTAGCCGTACAGTTAGGGCAACACCCGTACAACAGTTGACTAATAAATCAAGATTTGGCTTTTTTCGTCGGGTGTCGGCATTGAACTGGAAAAACATAACCGGTATTCGCCGCAACCTATCGATGCTTGTCATACAGTTTCTTATGCCATCGTTTCAATGTCTGTTAAACTTTACATGTCTGGGTCCCGATCCCTATGATCTGCCGATTGCTGTCTATAATCCCGATTCACCGGCCGTTATGAGCGCTTTGTTTCTCCGTTCACTCAGTAATGTCACATTTAATTTGATACCGTTTGATACGTTAGACGCAGCACTTGATCGGGTACGGGAAGGCAACGCCTGGGCAGTCATATCGTTTGCCGCCAACTATAGCCGACAGATGCAGACATTGGCCTACGAAGACTCGGCCGTCGAGTCGATACCGAAAATTGGTCTCTATTTGGATACCACTAACTATGTGATCAGTAATACCATACAAAAGGAACTGTATCTAACTTATAACAGAACAGCCCTAATGATGGCCGAGTTGGCCGGCGCTAATATATCGGCTGATGGATTGCCTAATCCAATAGCCATAGAGGGTATTGTTTACGGCGTAGAGTCACCACAAATGACAGAGTTTATGGCACCGGGTATTATATATTATTATTATTATTATTTAGTCATTTTTTCATATTTAAGTGTTATATCTTTGAACGAACCGGTAGGTCTTATATCGATGGCCATATTTTTTGCCGCAATGGCACTGACAGCCATAACACTGGTATTGGAGCGTAAAGACGGTGTGTTTGAGCGGACACTAGTGGCCGGTGTCAAGACATTTGAGTTTATAGTATCACAGATCAGCACACAGCTCATTGTGCTGGCCGTACAGGTGCTGCTCAGTATAATCACTATGTTTTACATATTGAACATCGACAGCAAAGGATCCATTGGACTGGTATACGCTATAACATTAATACAGGGAATGTGCGGTATGGCACTGGGACTTGTGGTGTCGGCATTTAGCGAAAATGAAAGCCAAGCCCTGGCAATGTCTATGGCCTCATTCCTTCCGGTGTCCATTATATCTGGTATTTTTTGGCCCGTAGAAGCTATGCCGTCATTTATGAAACCGATTAGCTATTTTGGACCGCAAACACTAGCACTGGACAGTATGCGGTACGTCATATCGCGCGGTTGGGATATCTACTACTTGTCAGTGATATATGGATTAGTTGCGCCCGCCGTTTGGTTTGTATTGTTAGTTATAATAGCGGCCATCGGTTTTCATAATATATCTTTTCGATGATATATCAACTAATATTTTCAATAACAAGTTTAATAATTAAAAAAAATATGTAATAAATTTTTATAAGTAACTGTATTTACAATTTTTTATAATTGTAATAGACATACATTTTTAAATACAATATTATCAATATATTTTATAAAATAAAAATAAAATCATAAACTATTCAAAAAATAAATGTAACTTTTTAAATTTAGTAGTATTTAGTAGTAAACTATTATTAATAAATAACAAACGCAATAAATGTTTTTTTAAATAAAATATATGAATTTAATTGAAAAAACATTTGTATGTAGTATTAGTTTACATGAGGTATATATATATATATATATATATATATATATAATGTAAATGTACCGTATATTACTATATTTATATTCATACATTATTATTAAATTAATTTGTACGCCATTTATAAATAAATTAATGCAAATTAATTGTAAAAATATCAGATAGTATTAATAATAATAACAATAAGGAAATAAAACAAATGTATATAGTTATTTTAATCGTAGGATTTTTAACACTATGTAAGTATTTAACAAAAATAAAATAATTAAAACTAATAAATATATAATTATTGCATTTTGTAATTTTATTATAAAAAAAATACAATTACTAATAATAAAAATAGTATGTAAATTTAATAAATAGTAATTTATATATATAATTTATATAAATATATTTGTATATTTTAATTATATATATATATATAAATTATCAAGCTAATGTTGTACAATGCGATGACCTGGATGAATATGAAATTGATGCAATGATGCGTGTTGCATTTTACTATGGCGATGATGAGCTAGTAGAGTGTAATAATGATACTCGTGAGGTATTAGACAATTATTGCAAGTATGTTATTATTATTATTATTATTATTTTGATTGTTTAGTTTAATTATAAATTTAAAAAAAAAATTCATAATATTTTCCAGAGATACGGCTAAATACAAAAAAGAGTCGCTAAAATTTATTCAACAAAAAGTTACATCACCTGAATTACAAGAGGCAGCCAAAAATGTTTTCTCATTGGAAAGTAAACCAGTTCATTGCAAACCATATACTGTCAAAAAGTTAGTAACAAACAACAACAACAACAAAAACTACATAAATACTCCTTTTTCCAATCTAACTGTCCATCTAAACAACAACAACAACAAAAACGGCAACGCTTACCTTAGAGGGCTTCTCATATAATTCACATTAGAAGTCAATAAAAATATATAAATCATAATATGACTCCACACCACCCCTACCTAACACATTACTATCTAATTCCACACACCTCACCACCACTTCCTAACCTCCCACACCCTATCCCACCCCACCTCCAAACTAACCCAAAGATAAAATTAATGCTTTTATATTATACATTAAAAACCATATAAAAAACGAAGCCCTTTAAGGTAAGTAATGCCCAAAAAAACACATACTGTACGACAATTGATTAAATAAACTATTATTTTTTGTGTTAAATTTTTAGGCCCGAGTTTTGGGATCTATGCGGCAGTAAAAAAGTGGTGGAAACGGGCGCTAAAGATTTCAATGTACTTTTAACTAATGTTATCGATCACTGTCACGATCCAGAGTCTAAATTAAATTTGCTTCAATTTATTTGGTAATAATTTGTTAAATTATATAATAATATGTAAATAACGTTTTTTTACTAATAATCAATATTACGATATCATCCACCACTCCCTTCCTATATTATCATTATAACCATCACCATCACCATCACCATCACCAACAAAAACAGTTATACAAAGCTATACATGGAGAAGATAATATTTGTATATCAAGATGACGAAGCCAAGAAACTGGTTAAAGAGCAAATGCATAATACATTTTTCTGGGCATTGGATAAGATAAAAAAACTGACCCACGAGTACCGTAAGCTAAGCAAATATCCGGATGAATGCGACTTTTCAAATGTCGACATTCCCGCCGAACATATACCACAGTATAAGTCATTATTGATGAACTGGTTTCTCGGTCTCGACAATTGTATAATAAAAGCCAAACAGTTTAATAAAAGTTTGAAAGAAAAAAAAGATAAGAAAAAAGGACGCAAATAATTTGGCAAACAATTTAATACTAACCCTTTCCCACCCCACTGTCCCTTATAACTATTTAAAATCAAAATACATCTCCTACATAATTTGTCGTAAAATTAAATGTGTTATTTATTTTCTGATTAAATTATTTATTGTTATTAATTAATATTATTAGTGTTGTTTTTGTTATTATTAGTGTTATTATTAAAGTTAATAACAAAATACATATATATATATAATAAAGTTGTTCAATGGTTGTCTGTATTGGTTGAAAATAATTAGCGTTTATTATTGCTATAATTAGATATAGTGTTAAATATAACAATTTATAATAAAACTATCGCAAATAATATTATGTATTAAAAATATTTGATAAAAAAATATACAAATAAAAGTTATTTTTCTTCAAAAAAATAGCTAAAATGATGTAAAACTTTTATTTAATGTTTATTTAGAGATTGGGATTATTGTTGATTAATATGACATCTGATTGACAACGATTCAAGTTGTGGTAAATTTGTATCAATATTCTCAAGAAATACATCACACAAAGGGAACTGTATATAACATTCTATAGACAATGTTGTCAATTGTTTGCACAGATTCAAGGAATGGCCGGGTATTTCAAACGCTTCAAAATTATCGACAATTACTATCAAAACTTTCAATCGGTTGAAGTAATTATTAATTATCAATAAAAAGTCAGCCATGTCTTGGTTGTCGACAATAATAATTATGAAATAAAGTTCAATGAGTTGTTGGCATTGTCTACTGATTTGTCTGAAACAGTGATCAAATTGTGAGGTCCACCAAATTTTATACAAACACAGAACTCGAAGCTCAGTCATAGACGATATGCCTTTAAATAACGATTGAATATATGGCCACTTAATTGAATATTCAAAATTTATATAAAAAACTTTCAATTTTCGGCTATAATTCTTGACAATCAATTGGATGTTTTCATTAATATATTGATTGAAAAACGGTTCAACTGTTGTCTCACTAATAAAAATCAAATACAATTTCTCGAGTTTGACAAATCGTGGTCTACTGGTCTGTGGATTTAATCCCATTAAGTCTGACACATAATTAGTCCATTGCTCTCTATTGGTGACTAATCTATGAATAAAACCTAAAACTTTCAATTGATGACATTGACCAACAAATTGCTGAAGACAATTTCCAATTGTATCGTCAACTGAGTTTACATAGACTACCAATTCTTTCAATTGTTCGCCATATTTGCCAAAAAACAATTCAATGGTTTCTACAGTCACATATTGATTGATTATTACAGAAACTTTTAGCAAACGACGACAGCATTTGGTAACTGATTTGAGGATTTGGTCGTCAAACTTAGTATTACAGTTGATATCAAAGATAAATTGTGTGATATTATAACACTTATTGATTAGTGTCTCTAAACGCCGAAAAAAATCATTCAACTGTTGTTCATCTAAAGTATTGACATCTTTTTCTATCAATTTTTTGTTGATTATCACAACATTATGGTTAATGAATACTAATTGTTGCAATTGTTTGCACACTTGTTCGCAACGTAACCGATCCTCAAGTGATAGATGTCTTGTAATCATAACAATGATTTCTTTTGGCAAATCTAATAAATGGCGACTATTATTGTCATCTGTTTGACAGTCTATTTGTTGACTGTTGTTATCGATGGCAATGCTATCGGTGGCAATATTATCAGTATTGTCCACAACTTCAACAACACTTGATCTATGATTTATGACCTCAATTTGTGGTAGACTCTCGTCATTATCATACACCACTTTGTCATTATCTTTGTCACAACAATTACAACAATTACCCATATTAATGGGTTTGATTTAATAAAAAAAAAACTACCGGTGCTATTGATTATTACAATTAATATATTCTAAAATAAGTTTTACTATAAAATCGTTTGATTTATAAATATTATTTTGTTTTGAATTTTGTATTATCTCGTAATAGTTATGTTAATTGTTGCGATACTTATATGAAATTAGAATTTTTTCAATAATTAATAATTAATATAAATAATTAATTGTTAATTACATATATATAACAATAAAATATTTATTTATTAATATATTAACTAATCATTTGAGATTAATGACAATTATTAATAACATCATAATTATAGAATATTATTTATAATAAATGTTTTTTTATTTCTAATATTTATTAAATTTATATCAGTATTATATATAATATTTAAAACTCATCATCGCTTATAATACGAGACAATAGATTTAAATTATTTTGTTGAATAGCGTTACGGCACGAGTTAATCAACTGGGACTTGGGTTTACCAACTTTTTATTTCAGATACAGGTGCCACAATAAAAATAAATAAAATGTTATTTTTTAAAATTAAGACCACAAACAGACATACCTCTCAGATTGCCGGCTCTCTGTATGCAAACATTGACCTGTTTTAGACTGTCCACCAAATCCTGATGATTCTGACAGCGGATCTTGTATTCAGTAATCAAATCCGTGTTAAAAGTGTTTAAATCGTTGTATAAGTTTTTCATGAGTTTACTATATTTTTTTATAGATTTTTAGTTAAGCAAAAAAATATTATATCAGACAAATAAAATTTAAAAAAAAAATAAATTATGAATTTTTTTAGTAATTAAACAAACATTTCGCCAATAAGTCGGGCGTCTTCGGCCCGAACCACTAGTTCTCTGATCGCCACCGAATTGTCGGCAATTTCGGCGGCCAATCGCTGGCGAACATTCTGCAGTTCTTCCACTTGATTGACAAACTTCTTGAGTTTGTCCACTTCGACTGGAAAACTGGCCGTTGAGGACATGTCTTCAATGCCAAGATATTCATAAACCAGTGACTGTACAATATCTCCGGCTAATTCAATATTATCGGTTCGGACAGTAAGCTCACCGGTACGACCGTCCATTTCCAGTGCCAGTGGCGAACCGTCCCGTAGCGATACAAACGATATGTCCAGTGTTTCGCCGTAATCAAACTCTTCGACCAATAGAAAGTTTGCATTTAGCCATGTTGTCTACCGGTGCGATTGTGAGAGAAACAAAAATTTAAAAAAAACATAATTAACTAAAATATGTTAAAATTTCTGTACAAAGTGCTAATATATAATGTAATTAATTTATAATTTAATATCTCTTATACTTTTACGGTAAGGGAAAAGTTAGATATTAATAGTATGATTGATTGTAAAGACATACCACTCGGACTAACTTTTCCGGTAAAACAAATGATACATGACTTTGAGGTTTTGCTGTCAATTTGGTGACGGCATACATTGAGAAACGCGGCAAATGTCTGGTCAACTCAAATACATGATAATGAAAACTGGATTTATAGCCAACGAGTGCTTTGACGTGCAGATCAATAGCCAAATCTTTGGGCGGTCGGAGGGCGACACTGATCTCGGAGCGCACCTGACTGTCGACTGGATGTATTACTTGACTTTCGCCTTTGAAGATACCCTCAGCAAATATTACAACTGTCCTAATGATTGTATCGTTTGTTGTCTCCAGTGTCAGCTCCACACACGGCTAAGTTTAAGCATAATAATAGTGATATATAAACCAATAAATACATTAATACTGTTTCAAAAAACATATACTCAACCAATTTGTCTGTTTGACTGATAACCAGTGCCGATCTTAGCTGTGTATTGGCCGGTATAGCACCGAACTGGTCGTTCTCCATCGTTGCCTTAGCTTTAGATATGAACGGATCGGCAATACGCTGAATACGGCTATTCTCTTCATAGTTCCTGAGCTCCATCAACAGGTTCTGTCGTTTTTTCATCATTTCCCTAACAGTGTCCTGTTCAAAGTTAGCGTCCATCACCGATTGGCGTTCCTGTGGCGAAGCCGATACATACCCCCTGATCTCGCCCTCAACTGTACAAACAATCAGTTCGTCAATACCGTCCAGATTATAGTCGGCCACCAATAGGCCGGCAATCGAGTGCGACAAGTTATCTCTAAACAGGACTTCTCCGTTCTCAATGTTACGGGCGTCCAGTTTACCGTTTGACCAGCCGGTAACCAATTCGGGTTTGCCGTCTTGATTGACATCAAAACTCAACAAACAGATTGCCTGATTTTTGGACTTTATGCGCCACAATCGTTCCTTCTTGTGATACACGCCTACCGTTCCGTTGGCCAGAGCGTAGGCAAACGTGTGCGGACTTATAGCACACAGTGAGGTAATAGTATCGGTTTCGGACAACTCGTAGGTTATGGCGTCTTCTTTGAACACACGTATGTCGTGATCATCGGAACCGACTAACAGCTGTATTGAGAGGACAGTTCAAATAAAATATCTTAAATTATAACCTTATCCTACTATCATCCCATACCTCATTTTGGCCGTCCTCATCCAGATCTGTCAGTACCATACATGTAATGTTGTCACCGGTGACTGTCCAGTAGCTGTCAGTTCCTTCGTAGTCGAAGCCCTGTAGAGCACAATTGCCGCCAACAATAGCCAACGGTTTGTGTATAGTTCCCACTTCGCCGATGATTACAGCGTTTGCACCGTCAGGTACCTGATATCAGAGATATTTTTTTATTAAAAAAAGTTTTAAAAAATTATTTTTTAAAACAGTAAGTTATGCACCAGTTGTGATCTATTCAATGATTAAATACAATTATAACATATAATGCATACAACAAATTGATTAAAGTTTAGGAAATAAACGTTTTTATTCAATACCTTTCCTTTATTTAAACTATACTATTGTACTGTATATTCTCTATAGTTTAATATTAATAGTTTGTAAGCAATTTCTAAGGAAACTATTATAAATGTTATATAAATTCATATTTCAATAGACAGTATAGTCTATGATTTTCTACAATAATTGAATTGTATTGAAATATCACAATATTATTGGGAAAATTATTATTATTTTGTGTTCAGTATATATCGTATTGAATATAATTATAAATTTACATTATATACCTCTTTATAAAATAAATCACTATTAGTTATAACATCGTAGACCATAATAGAAGTAGGAGTTCCTATCACCAGTACATCATTATCCCCGCCACTGTTGGTGCCACCAACACCACCACCACTAGTGCTACCTGTGCTACTGTTGGCAGAGCTGGTTCTCGACTTATTGTTGGCCGATTTTTGATTGCCGCCAACAGTCGATGTTGGCCTCGATTGCCGCAACTTTCCGGCGGCTAACGCATTGACCGTTTGGTTGATGTTCAAGTAGTTAATATCGCTGACAGATGCGCTCATTACCCACCGGCCATCAGCATTGAGGGAACGGCTGTTCGGATTGTGTACAAACACCTGTGATTTATGACGTACAATAGGGAGACAGATATGTAATATATATATATAGATAAATAGGAGAAATATGATAGCAATTTTAATGAGTGCTTTTATATGTATAAATATATGTTTACAGTCCATTGTAACCACACAATAACCACTGGGTTTGAGGGTCACGTTAGGAGAAAGGTTAGGAGGTTAGTTATGCATATAATAGTAGTAAAAAATGCATATGAAAACTACTATAACTCCCCCTCAATTTTGCTGAATAAATAATATTAAATTAATAATTTTACTTTTGTTTATAAGTAAATTTTAAGTATATAATAAGACTTAAATTATAATTGACAATTAATATATTAATTAAGATTAATTTATATCAATTAAACTAACAGTTAATAAATATAATTAAATATAATTTACTAAAATCATACAGTACTTAGATATTGTATTATATATCCAGTATTTGTTTGTATTATCATTTATTTTAAAATATAACTTTTAATTAAAATAAAATCTACATAATTAAATTAATTAAAATATTTATCGAGAAAAAATTAGTTTATTTATAAAAGTAAATAAAAATTAATTAGTTGATGAAAATAATTAAATGTATTATTAATACTGCTATTAATAATCAACAATAATAATAATAAAAATTAAATGAAATTGTAATAAAAGAAATAACTGTCCAATTAATTTGGTGGACAGTTATATACTGTTTAGTAGTACCCGTTATGTGCCATATATTGATATATACAGTATAAATAGCTCAGTCATCAGTAATACAGCTGTACAGTAGTAGTATAATAGTAGTAGTACTATGTGTACACACACTGTATGCTTATAGCTTATAGAACACAGGGATGTTAAGTATGTAATGAATGTCATATACACAACACAACATAACTGTATCTTCAATATGCCATACCTTATCCGTATGAGTGGCGGCAACAATGCATGGATTAATGCCATCAAACTTTCCAATTGAAACCTTTTTGGGCAATATTTTCTCATTTAATGTTACAGTGAATACTGTTTTAAGCATTTGATATTAAATTCAAATGTTATCACCAAAAAAAAACAAACTATATTCTCAAACAAACAGCAAATTTAATTTTATAAAATGAATTTAACTGAAAAACAAATATTTTTCTGAATATATTATTATTATTATCGTTATTAGTAATTCACGTTTTTCTTATACACTACTAAAACAGTATATATTTTTTATTTTTGTTATGTTTTGCATAGCATTTAGAGGGCGATCTCTATGACAACAATTAACTGTTGTGTATATAATATAAATTGATATATAAAATTATATATATATATAAAATTTATATAAATACTGTATTTTTTATTTGATATATAAATATATAAATTATAATACAGCATATAAAGACCAAATAATTTACATTTCTACTGAAAATATTTTAAATTATAAATTAAATAAATTTGATATTATTATTACAGTATTATTGTTATATTAAATAAAAACATATTATACTAATAAATTTGAAACTAGATTGTCACTGATTTCAATAATAATTACGTTTAATTTAATTTTGCAAATTAGTTAGATATTATATAAAAATAGTTTACTTTATAGGTTATTTTTTAAAAAGATATTTAGCATTATAAATTTATATCTATAAACATATACAGTATTTATCTATATATATATATACATAAAAACTTGGATTAAATTATTTGAAGATTTAATATCAATTTAGGAGATATATATTGTATCAGGGTTAAGTAAGGGGGGGGGGGGGGGGGGGTAAGGCCAAAATACCCCCCTAAGATCGAGAAATTGGGATTTTACCCCCCCCCAGACTTTTTGACCAAATTGAAAAAATTGTCGCTTAAAAACGAGGAGAAATGACCCCCCTAAAATTTCGGCGCCGAAGGCGCCGAAAATTTTTTTGAAATTTATAAAAATTTTAATTTTAGTTGATACTATTTTAGTAAGTGTTTTTATGTTTTTAATATTTATAAAAATCTAATTATTGATTAAAAATAGTTAAAATAACGTTAAAAGTCATCAAAAAATAACATTATTTTAATTAAAATAAACTAAAAAATTAAAAATTACCTATTTGTTGAAAAGAGTAATCATATTACAATTTAAATATAAGTTTAAGAAGTTAATAAAACAATAAATACTTGTTTTTATTAATAATTTTTAAATTTTAAATAAAAAATTTAAAAATATTTTCAATTTTGTACTTAATATAATTAAACTTTAACGAAATTTGAGTTAAATAAGTAGTATTCAGTCAGTATTTGTATAAAAATAAAAATATATAACAAACTATAAACATTAATTATTGTTTAAAAAATTAATTATGTTAAAAGTTAAAAATTATTAAAATACTAAAAATAACTCATAGTGTATCATTAATGCTTTTATCAACTATTTTTAAATCTTAAATACATTATTTTATTTTTTTTGTTAAAATTTAAGTTTTTATTAATTTAAAAAATTTTTTTTTAAAAATATTTATTTTTTGTTAAAATTTAAATTTTTGTTAATTTTTAAGTTTTTTTTAAGTTTTTTTATATTTTTTGGAAATTTTACCTATTTTCCCGGGAATTTATACGGGAACTTGTGGGAATTTTATTGAATTTACATGGGAATATTCGGGAACTTAAGGAATTTTTAGGGAATTTTCTCTAGACCCCCCCCCTTGATTTTGGATTTTTGAAAAAATTGCCGTTTAAAAATGCAATAAAAATCTTACCCCACCCAATACCCCCCCCAAGATTTTTTGAGAATTTTGTAAATTTTACCCCGGTCTACCCCCCCCCTAAAATCCAAAACCTTGCTTAACCCTGATATTGTATGTATCTATATGTATACAGTAAATAATATAACTTTATATAAGGGTATACAATATATTTTTGATATATATTTGGTTTAACTATAAGAAAATACTGTATAAACATCAATATAAACAATATTATTTAAGTATTTCAATAAGTAAATTCCGCACATATTTTGTTTTATATAAAGTATATATTGTATTTTATGTCACTTATAATTTAGATTTATTAAAAACGATAATATTATTGTAGTTTTTACTACTTTATATAAACTACTATAATATTATATTTTTATTTTATTTATTTCTTTGACATGTATTTAAAATATTTAAATATATTTTTATAATTATTTTCCAGGCATAAATAGTAATATAATATTTTAATAATAAAATATTAGTCTTATTATTATGTATCCATTACTTTATTAATATAGCTAATATAATTATTAATATTATACCAGTAAAAGCAATAATATTGATATTATTATTATGACATTTTTATTAATAGGATTGTTATTAAAGGATTATTGGATTAGGATTTGTTTGAGAGGTCTATTTAAATTATTACATACTTATTAACTTTAACACACACATGTACACACATGTACACACACACACACACACACACACACACACACACACACACACACACACACACACATACATACATACATACATACATAAAAACTTGCATTATTAGAAATGAAACTGATTTCATATTAAGTTTAGATAAGTTTGTAATTAATTTTAAATATATTGAAAGTAATTCACTGAATGAAAGCAAAAGAGAAAGAGAAAAATCGTAATATATTTATATGAATCACATCATCAAATCGGATCAAAAATTATTTAATCTGATGGTTATTATTAGTAGAGTAATAAATAGGAAAAGTTTAAGGGGTCGACAGCATACACACGAGTCGACACACAGTCTATTCAATTGTTACATACCATTGGCATATGTCGACTGGCATTTATCGGTAAGTGTCATACAAAATACTTATTGTTGAGACACAGTTTGTCAAAAGAGTGAGTGAGTGAGTGAGTGAGTGAGAGAGAGAGAGAGAGAGAGAGAGAGAGAGAGAGAGAGAGAGAGAGAGAGAGAGAGAGAGAGAGAGAGAGAGAGAGAGAGAGAGAGAGAGAGAGAGAGAGTGAAAGAGATATATGTTTGTGTGGATGTATGTAATATAGGGAAGCATACAAAACATATATAGATAGATAGATTTTGAGCCAATTTATTGTGACATTGAATAAATGCATTGACCATAAACTGATGGATAAGGGATACACCAAATCTATAAGTTTTATATACATTATATACCGTATAATACTCTATATCATAGCATATACTGTACTATATTGCAATATTATACAGATAGTATAGTTTATATTAATACAATACAGACCATACGAATAATATTAAAACCATTGAATAGTGTTTTTAAATAATAATCTCAAATAAAACAAAAAATTTTAAATTAAACGTTTTAACAACAAAAAATCATTTAAATCATTGTAAAGTCATATTTTTAGTTATAAACTAGTTGAAAATATTTATAATAAATTTGTCAAAAATAATTAATGTTTTATAAAAATATTTGTTTTTTGACAATATAATCAAATTGTTTATCAATTAATTGGTCTTTTTAAATGTCATCTATTTGAAATAATAATAATTATTATTATTATAACGTTGATAATAATAATGTAGTTTAGTATATAATTAGTCAGTAAAATGTGACTTAATGACAATCAAATTGCTCCCAAATAATTGATAAAAATTAATTAAGATATTTGTCGACTGTCCGAGAATTTATTGATTACAATAGTTTTGATTATAGCAATCACATCAACACATTGATTAGCAAAGAGAGAGAGAGAGAGAGAAAGAAAGAAAGAGAGAGAGATTATATTAATAGCTATCAGTGCCAATGTCTGTGTTATATATGCCTATACTAACTATCCTTTATTTAATTATACTCTTAACTGTGTACTGTTTGACACTTAACTCTCTATATATGGTATAAATACATATACAATACAATAATAGCAATGATTATGAGTGGCATTTCAGTAAATTAATGTAATATATATATATATATTATTTGATATTGTACAGTATTATACAGTAGTAATAAATATAATTATAGTAAATTAAGATTGAGATTCTATAATATAATAAATTATATATATATACTTATATTACTATATTTTATTATTGAAACGACTAAAAAATTAGCTAAATGAGAAAATAGTCAAAATAGTATTATTTTGTTTTACAATTAATTATAATTAAATTTTTCTAATTAAAATTCCTACAAAATTAAAATAGTAATTATCATAATAAATATTCAGAACTAACTTTACAATTACAGTGTTGTAGTTATTGTACGATACATACGAGTGTTTAAAACTTTTTTTTTGATAATAAGTAAAATTTTTATAAAATTTAGTCACAATATGTATGTCATATTTTTTATTACATACTTGATCTTATAATCATAATCTATTCAACAAAAAAATAATCAAAAAAAATTCTTACATATTTAGTGATGCATATATAACATGATTTAAATGAATAGATATAGAAAAAAACAATTATTAGTTTTTTTGCTTCTTATATTCAATACTAATAACTAAATTGTGAAAAAAGCATATAAAAAATTATATGATTTAATCATATGATCCTTTATAATGCTCTTTTGGATAGTAATATAATATTATAGCTATCTTTCCTTTAAACATCCCGATGTCATCTCTCTTTCTCTCTCTCTCTCTCTCTCTCTCTCTCTCTCTCTCTCTCTCTCTCTCTCTCTCTCTCTCTCTCACTCACTCACTCACTAACTCACTCACTCAGACACACACACATTTCCGATATTTCTCCTATATTTCTCATTAAACAAATAGTCAAAAGACACTCATCATAAAATATAATTAAATATTAATTCAATGTTTTGTTAGATTTTTTTGTAAATAATTAAATATTATTTATTTTAATTATTTGTCATATACTTTTTAATCAATTAGGTATATATTATACATTAATTAATGCAATATACATGTGTAATGCAACTATTTTTAATATGTTTAGCAATTTTTTTTATGTATTAATATATTATTTAATATAAATATTATATACATGCACATAATTATAACAATACATAATAGTACTGTAAATTTATATATAAATTTCTAAATACCTCAATAATTTTTAAACTATTAAAATTATTATCTGGTTTAAGTTATATTACTAAATATAACTTATTCATTGCAAATATAATGTGAAGTACACATTGAAATTTTCAAAAAATATTTTTAAATTTTCAAAAATCAATTCACTTGTCAATCAACTACATGTGTTAGCTCTTATACATTTATACAATTATAGATATATATATATAATTCAAAAAAAACTAAATAAAAATTTATAAATAAATTTTGCATATTATTAATAAAGCCATATTTAAATAATTTCAATTAAATAAGTATTTTATTAAGTTTTTAATTTAAAGATATATATATATATCCGATATCTATAGTATTGAATAGTTGTGCAAATAATATGATGTGATTTACTATATATACATATATTCAGTACAATAGCAATAAAAACGAAACGCCCACTGAATGGCCACAGAGATGTTGAAAGCAATTTAATAGTGCGATCGATGCGGCAAATCATTGCTTACGGTATGGATGTCTGAGCCGATAGTTTACGTCTGTGTTGTATGTGATGTACTGTAAGTATGTGTGTATGTGTGCGCATCCCTATCCTCTCAGTATTACTTTATAAAAACCTATAAATACAGTAATATTTTATTATCCGTTTAAATCTGTCTGGATTTTTCAATTTCATATACAAATAAAAAGGTTTCTCATAATAAACATATGAAAAAATAATAATTAAAAAAATAGTGTCAAATAAAAATTGATTTGATTAATATATAGTTAAAATAATATAATATTATTATAGAAATTATATTGAATATTATTTGTATTTTTTATTTTAAACTATAAGTAATAAATATATAAATATATTTTGTTGATAACAAAATTATGACAAGTATTGAAAATGGTTTGTTTTATATAAAATTTATTGTTAATAATATTTTTAATTTAATATTTGATTACATAATACTATTTATTTTTAGAAATAGGGTCGTCATCTATATCATCGACACAGGATTCACCGGTATATACACAACAACAACCACTAGTTCATCATCACATGAGATACCAGAGCAATGGTTATACAAGTAATGGTTGTCTAAGTCATCAAACAAATCAATTTTGTATGAAAATACTTATTATTATTATTATTATAATTAGTGCTATTATTAAACTTTTTTTAAAACATAAACAATTTATTTTATTTTATCATTAGATAACTCATCAATGGCACCGCTGATGACGACCATCAATGGCGGCGCCAACGGCAGTGCAACTGCATGTACGACACCGACAACGACAACAACAGCATCGTCGGCATCAACGATAGGTTGTCCGCAGCCAACAACACGTATACTTAGACCGCACTCGACACCGGCAACACTGATCTGGTTGGAAGATAATTACGAGTTGGCCGAAGGTGTTTGCATACCCCGGAGCGTACTTTATATGCATTACGTGGACTTCTGCGGCAACAACAATGTCCAGCCCGTAAACGCTGCCTCCTTTGGAAAGGTATTTGTGATGTTATTTATTTTATTTTTATTTTTTTAGATTATACTGTAGTTACCAATTGATAATAACAACAAAATTGAACAAACGGGTCATTTTTATTGTATATTTCGTTTAGATTATTAGACAACAGTTTCCCCAATTAACAACCCGACGATTGGGCACTAGAGGCCAATCACGTTATCATTATTATGGTATTGCCATTAGAGAGACATCCGTTTACTATCAGTCGTCGTACTCGAAAAAATCGGGACAAAAGTAAGTAATCAACAATTTAATTGATTTTTAAAATCGTAATATTATAGTAAATTGTTGATTAATCTAAATATTATATTAATTTTTAATTAAATAGTCTTATATTTTATATATTAATCTTAAGTTTGGCATATTATACTATAGTTGTTTATAAATAAATATAGGTAAATTTAGCTCTACTATAAGTAAAAAATTTAAAGCATACTAAATTAAAATAAAATATTTTATTAATATTATTCATATATATATATATATATATATATCATTATTTGATTATATAATTACAAATATTAATAAAGATAATTATTACAAAAATTTATCAATTTAGTAAACAATGCATAATTAAATATAGTGAATTGTATAAATTAATTGTTAAAATACATTTACTGTGTATACAGTATTTGCATTAAATGTCAGTAATTGCTGAAAAAATGCTTACAATATTATATAAGTATTGAATTTTATAGTATACTAATTCATGTTTTTCAATAACTTGTATTTAATATACGTGAGAGTGAGTGAGTGAGTGAGTGAGTGAGTGAGTGAGTGAGTGAGTGAGTGAGTGAGTGTGTGTGTGTGTGTGTGTGTGTGTGTGTGTTAGAGAGAGAGAGAGAGAGAGAGAGAGAGAGAGAGAGAGAGTATTAAATGTCTCATTCAATTAGTAGTGGTGTGTATAGCAAATCGCATCAGTAATCCTATATCCTATACATAACTGATATCTACTGTTATTACCTTTTATAACAATAAATGTATTGTGTGTGAGACAGTCGTTAAGCCAACACAATGACATACAAACTATGCACAGTATATGTAGAGTATGTATATGTGTTTGAACGGGAATACAAACCAAACTTATAGTATAAGCAATAGATATTGAAGTTATTATTTATTAGTAATTATAAAAAATAATAGAAATTTGTGTTATCATGTTTTTTAATTATTTATTTAAACTTTATAATTATATTATATTATTTTTACTTTTAAGATATAATAATTATATTCAATTATTTGCATTTAAAAGTGCAACGAAATCAAATTTATTACAGTTTATAACAATTGTCATATTAATTGGTTAACATTTGTGCAATAATTGACATTAATATTAGTATAAATTTTAATAAAAATTTATTAGAAAATATATTATATTATTTATATTCTATATAGAAAAAATTAAATATTATTATTTATAAGTAAGCTAATAAAAATTAATTAAAACTTAATTAAAAATTAATTAAAACATTTAAAAATTTAAAACTACTAATCATATTTAATGAGAAAAGTTTAAAGTTTATAAAGAATATTTTCATAATTAGATATAAATTGATAATAACTTACTAAATAATTATACTAAATAATAACTAAAATAAATTTTAAATTAGATTACTTAAATTAAAACGATAATTATTTAAACTATGAAACCGTATTCAAATTATTTAACTTAAATTGCTATATTAGTAACTTACTGTATTTGAAATGAATTAATAGTATATCAATTTGTAAATTATTTTTATTTTATTCAACATATATATTACGGTATATTACATAATTAAATCTAATTTAATTAACAAAATATTTGTCAAAACATGTGATTTTAGAAAAACAATATAATATAAAACATTTTATATATATTTATTAATATATTAATACTTTATAATATACATGTAAGTATATATATATATTATACACTATTAATATATTATTTATTAATTTAGTAATGTTGATCCACTAAAACGTGAGGCACGTGAAAATATTAATAAACAGGTATACATAAAAATTATTATAAAATTCATACCAAATAAAAAACTTAGCATACAAATATTAAATATTATTGATAATATTGTAATAATAATATTTGTTTGACACAATAACCAAAAAAAACACAATAGTCTATACCAACAACAATCAGCTCCCGGAGCCGTACGGCCACAATGTTGCCTCAGTTTCCTAACCTAAAAGATGTTATATTGCACAGCAGTTTGGATAAGGATAAGGTATGGATTATCAACTAATAATTGTTACAATTGTTAGCTATTATTATATATCTAAATTTTGATCCCTTTGCTTCCCAAACACACACACACACACACATATGCCTATAGATTTCAACATTTTTAATGATGTACCGAACCCATTGTCAGCGCATACTGGACACTGTCATACGGGCCAACTTCGATGAGGTCCAGACATTTTTGTTACACTTTTGGCAGGGGGTTCCACCACACCTGAGCCCAATACTTGAGTGCAATTCAGTAATCAATTTAATTGGTGTTTGCGACTCAATACTATACAAGACAATAGCTAACGTACTGTTGCCGTCAGTGTTGCAAACATTGCCCGAAAGGTATATATTCCTATCAATAATTATTTTTAAATAAATTTATAAATAATATTAATTCGTAAAACTAATTGAGAATTTAATTTTATTTTTTAAAGTTTAACAAAAATGATGAAACAGTTTGCCTCTGAGTTGGACAGTTGGCTTCGTATGTCACTCTACAATCTACCGGAGACTCTACGCTCGGTTAAGCTAGAGTTGGCCCGACGTTTCGGTCAAGTGTTACGCCGACAGACATCGCTGAACCATTTGTCGCAGGCCTTACGTATGGTTGTCAACAATACAGATATAACACTACAAATGTTAAGGGACTGGCGTACGATTGATGTCCAAAATATTTGTGCCAACATTTTTGCCGACTATTTTAACATTGAAAACAATACCACTGTTGATAATGGCGACAACAACGACGTTATGGATGACAACGACACCAATTGCAATGATGACGATACCTGTGCTTCTGGTGTCGGCGCTGATGATAATAATAGCAATACACGCATCAACACCAACAACAGCAACAGGTCTTGCAATTCAAAGATAAAGTTGATCTCAAAATGTAAGTCCATTCCGTGTGTTTTAGTATAATAATGCTAATTATTATTATTTTTGTGGTGGGGAACGGTATATATATAGTTTGCGAGCAATTTGAGCATTTACTGGAAGAGGAGGCACAAATTGAAAACTATTTAGAGTGGTTGGAGTCAATCGTTCACAAGTGTGTCCTATATGTATGTTCAAACCATTGATAATTTTTTTCAAAATATTATCATTGATATTATAATAAGTTTTGTTTATGATTTTTTTTTTTGCTTAGCCGAGTCTCAAATGTACCAATACATCGACTTTACGCCGCTATTCCCGACATTTTCTGCTTCTGTGGTCGGCATTTGGCTCCCGTGTCATCCAAGACATGACTCTACAAAGTGCACAAAGCTTTGGTATGCAATAGTTTCACACACATACACACACACACACAAAATCGTTGAACTTATTGTTGATCATAATTTAGGATCATTTCACTTATTACGGCTTATGTTTGACGACTATGTCCTCTATTTGGTCGAATATGTCCAACTGGATGAACAAATGAAACAATTTCTACGGCTCATACCTAACAACGAACCACCTGTTTTTACTGTTTTCTATTATAATGGTTATTATCAAAAAAAATGTATATCACACTAGTATTATATAAAATATTTATTCTCTCTCTCTTTCTTTCTTTCTTTCTTTATTTCTCTTGTGCTGATAGACTGTGAAATGTCTAATACTAGTCATCCGGTGCCAAACCCAACGGTACCCATCGAGTACGAGTCGACTGTAAGCAGCAGTACAGGCGATTTTGGTGCCAACGATACTCCAAACGGCAATATAACAGTCGATGTCAGTCACGACACTATGACTGGTACTACTGCACAACAGTCCTATGCCTATACATCCTATCCATTAACTCAAGGCTCGTATACTACATATCAGAATCCCAGGTAATGGTTAAATGAAAATATTTGTATTAATAAGAATTTATGTATTGACTCAAAAGTGTTATCTATTATATCGTATATAACAGTGCAATATATGATACACAAGTAGATCAACAGCAGCAGCAACAACAACAACAACACCATCATCATCAACAACAACACAGTCAAAGACATACTACTAACTCATCCAACTATTCGTGGTATACGCCTAACAGCGGTCACGGGATGTATGAGTTTGGTGGCGATAATCAGCAACCAATTGATGGACATCATCACAGCCAACATCAACATCATCATCAACAACAACAACATAATGGGGATCAAGTAATTAGCGCACAGACTATTGATGGCATGAATCAAGTGAATGGAAACGAGTTTTATGATTGCATTCAATAATTTGTTTTAATATAAATTTATATCATATCTATTGTCTTAAATTAATATTTTAACTATAAAAGGCTCAGTTTGAAACATTTGATTTAATTAAAGTCATCGAAAATTATATTCATCAAAATATGTTTTAAAAAAAATTATTTTTATTATTTAGTATTCAATATTATTATTATTAAATTTTATTATTGTATGTGTAATTTTCAATTTATGATATTTTATAATACAATTTTTTATTAGATATTATTAGTTGACTAAAATTCAATTATATTATACTGTATTTCTATAAAAATTAAAATTATAACAATAAATACTTAATTAAATTCATTACAAGTAAAATAATCTATACAATTAAATTTTATTTGACAATTAATTATTAAAAAAATAAAATAAAAATAAGATTTAAACTTTTATTATTATTATAAAATTAAATAGAAATAGTTTTGTAATTTCTGTATATATATTATTAATAGTATTTAGATTTTTAATATATATATATATATATATACTGTATATATATATATTTAAGACAAACATGCATAGAGATTGCCATTAGAGGCAATAATATGATTGCTGTTAACAGTATTGTCAAATATGGCTCCGTTATTATCAAAAATATACTGATCGCCGTCTATGACATATTGATAGTCCACTGGATAGTGTTGTTGTTGACCACTGTATGATGAATAGTTGGCCGCCGACGGTGGCGACAATGAGTCGTTGTTTGATGAGTCTGTCAATGTGGGCGAGTAGTAGTAGTCGGTGTCGTCACAAATATATTGATCCCATTTTATGGTTGACAACCATTGGTTGATATCGTTATAGGATTGTTGTTGAAGTTGTTGTTCTTGTTCTTGTGATTGATGATGGTTTTGCTGTTGTTGTTGATGTTGTTGATGATGATTATGATGATGATAGCTGTCCATAGTTAGTGATGTAGTTGTATCGCATGATATTAATTGAGACAAATCTTTATAGTTTGTTTGAACAAACAAAAATTAATATAATAATTAATATAATTAATAATTTACTGTTTATACCATTATTGATGATAATATTGTTATTATTGAGCGGTTGTTTCATTATGGTTAGTCTCCTAACCGAAAGTGATTCGTGTCTTATTGATCGGCAAACCCTCAATAGGGTGTACTCTTCAAGTGTTACAAACAATAAGTGCCAAAAGCCTATTATGATATAATTTAATAAAAATTATTTTATGATTACTTTACTTTTTGTACTTTAATTATTTAATATTAAATTAATAATTTAGTTTATGCTATTAATTTCTTTCAAGTAAAATATTATGTTTTTCTGTATAAATAAAAATCAACAATATAGGTTTAATATTAATATTAAAATTATATAGTATAATTAATTAATATATTAATTTTAACCCTATAAATTAAAGCTATAATTCATATAAATTATCTAACTCTATAAGATTAACTTTTATTATAGATTATTAGATAATATAAATTATTATTATTAATAATATTTATACAATGAGTAATATAATTGATGACTAATTGAAATAATTTGTATTTGCGATTACAATAGTTAATACACGCGTATGATATTAATAAAAACAAATAAAAAAAGAAATTAATTATTTTTATAAATATTATAGTTGTAAAGCTCACATAATTTTTTCAGATAAAAAATAATATTGTATTTATTTATATATTAATAATTATTTAAATAAATAAATAAAAAATAAATCGTCTATTTATTCTACATAATTTATAAAGGATTTAAAGTCTATAATTAATTGCACACAAAATAGCATAAACTGATTTATATATTTTTTTAAAAATAACAATAAATTAATTAATTAATGATATTTTGATTATATAAATAATATACCAAAACTTTTAGCGTTGCTTAATGTAAGATCACGTATTATACCGGATAGGTATGTGCCCAATGCAAACACCAATTGACTCGCCCTAGTTGTCAAACACGCGTGTTTCCCCTATTTGTTATTAAAAAAATTATTATTATTAGTATTACAAATCAAATTAGTATTTATATAACATGTTTGTTGAAAAATAAATAAATAATGATAATTCTAATAATGTACCGGTATTTTTATATATATATATATATATATATTATATAATTTATTTATTATTGAAAATAATTTGTATATTCCCTTTAACTGTACTAATAAAAAATTGTTGTATATCTATATACAAAGACAATAAATTATAGTTAACACTTAAAATAAATATTTTTATTAATATTATTTATCTAATAATAATATTTTTATTATATTTTATTTTTATTGAAATCTTGTTTATAATCAAAAATATAATTTCCGGTGTGTGTGTATGTGTTTGTTTATATTATCAATAAATCATAAATAAAATATTGTTTTTATACCTATAATATTTAATTATATTATATATTAATATATATTAAATAACATGTTTTTATTATTATAAATATTCTAAGCTATTCTTGTAAATTTTAAGATTTTTTATTTTGAGTATAATATGATATACATAAATAAAAGTTTTGAAATTTAAAAGTAAAAATGCAAATATATATATTATATTTAATTTTTTTTAAATATTTCACACTTACATTAACCACATGCTTATCAACAATATTATTGACCCAATCGGTCATATAATCAAATTGGATGTCCTGGCGTACGGCACCAATGAGATCGCAAAATGACTGATATATACCACCGTCAGCTGATAGGCTGGCAGTAGTAGTGGTGGAGGTGTTATTGTTGGCCAACAATGTCACCATTTGTGACCAAATTTCTTGTGTCTCAACACTGGCTATTTCGCGACACATGAGTAGTATATTTGCCGGCTGTGAGACCACTATTTTGCAGCTCTAATTCAAAGTCAGATATAAGTAAAAACAAAATACATACAATATATTACTTTAACTGTCACCAAATGTATAACATATTAGTAAAGTAAAAAAATTTAGTTTTTAAAATACTTTGACTAATTGTAGGAAAGATAGCTGTCGTTTGATAGCACGTGTAAACTGTTGCAATACATCCAACTTTTTGACTGTTATTTGCGCGGACAGGGCTTTCATGGATAGTTCGATCCATTTAGGCATCGATTGGATGATCCGTAACAACTCGTGTGTAAACTGTTCCGGCAATTCATACAACGATTTCGGGGACAATGAGTCTTCAATAGCCTATAGATAGATATTATGTTTAAAAATAGTCAATATATTGTAATTGTTAATATTTAATACATTGCATGCTATTTGATATTTTTAAAAATTTGCTAATAAATAAAATAATAGTCTTAATGATTTAATGATAACAAATCTACAATATTAAAATTTATATTTTACTCATAATCAATCACTAATTTATTAATAAATGTGTAATGAATGTGAAGTTTTAAATAACTAATTAATCTTATATTGTAATTTTTCAAAATAATTAATATCTCTAAAAAAAATCATTGCAAGATTGCTAAATTTTTAGCAAAATCTAATAGCAAACAAATAATAAGATTTTAAAATTATATATTTAAAATGATTAACAAATTTGAGAAATTAATTTTCAATATATATTTTTTTGTATTAATTAATTATTTTTTAGAGATGATGTAAATTATATTTAAGAATTTATTTATGTATTAATTATAGCAACATATCTTAATTTAATTTATAAATAAATTTTTTATATAAATAAAACTACAGTAAATGGATATATAATATTAATCTAGAATTTATTAATAGTTTAAATATAATTACTTATTATTAATAAATCTCTATTACATTATGTAATTTAATTTATATTTACTTATGTATTGCATATATATAAATTATCTGTAATTTAGTATTTATTAGTAGCAATGCGCTAATTTGTCTTATTAAACAAATATTTAAAGTGTATTATTTGTATTAGGGTTTTTAATTTGCATTTTAATTTTAATTAGTTATTGAATATAAACTTTATACTATCAATACTATAATTTATTTAATAGATTTTTAAAACTAATTGAGCAATGAAATTGAATTTTAAGTTTTTAATAATAATACCCACAACTATATTAAATATTTATATAATTGATTTACTATCAGTAACATTTATATTAAAAAAAACTTTGTTTTAAAAATAATTTATTATATCAAAATATTATAGTATATATACAGTATATTATTATTATTATTATTATGAAAATGTTTCAAAATATAATACACATAAAAAATTTAAAGAATATCTAGATTATAATGCACTTAAAA